TTAAAGTGAGATAAAGATTCTCTTCATCTCTAGGTTTTACTCAGGTTGCCGAATGTTTAGCTACAATGCTGACTTTTGTCCTAAAACATTCTCTCCAACTTGAGTTTAAAAAACATATCCTAAGCATGATGCCACCATCACCATCTTTACTGTGGGTTGTATTATTATATATATTATATTGGAGTGGGGGGAGTGTCGGCCCAATAGTTAGGACATAGAGCTTGGAATCCTGAGGTTCTGAGTTTTAAACCCACTCCCACAGACTGCCACTCTGGGTCTCCGATCAAGACCCTTAACCCCACACTGCTCCCCGGGCGCCCCACGATGGCAGCCCACTGCTTCCCAAGGGGATGGGTTAAATGCTGAAGTGAATTTCTCCAATGTGAGATCAATAAAGTTCAATTATTATTTATTATTATATTATAATCTAATCATTAAAAAAGCCTCCTAACTTATATATGTTTTGTTTTAAAGTTGTAATTATTATAAATCAAAGAAATGTAGCCTATTTTCAGTTCGTAGGTCACATGAATAACTTATCCTTTCTGCAGGGTTATTATTAATATAATTAAAAATGCAGCACTGTTATGATCATGTGTTCCTTCTAAGTTCCTTCCAAGTAATACAAGCAGGACATTTTTTCCCTGTCACTCATCTGCTTACTATGGAAGAGCATTAGGGCCACTGGGAAAAAAAAAAGATAACTGATTTTCAAGTATCATTTCAGTTTAATGTGGGGGGAAAAAGTCAGAATTCTGACCTTAAATCTCAGAATTCCGACCTTAAATCTCAGAATTCTGACCTTAAATCTCAGAATTCTGACCTTAAATCTCAGAATTCTGACCTTAAATCTCAGAATTCAGAATCACTTAACATGTTTTCATTCCTTCTGTGGCCCTAATTCTCTTCTACAGTTTGCCAAACTTTGGAAGCTTGAAATTTCAGTAAACTTGTTTGTAAAAATTCAAATAAAAATAAAGCGACTTTGCAAATATGTCTTTTATATTCGTCTTGCATTGAATGTAAGGACGATTACTTGCATCTAAAAATAAACCTCGCCTAATATACATCAGTTCAATCCACCAGTAAAATTAGAAGTTAGCAGCTATTGTTGCTTTATCGTCGTAGCTTAGAACAATTATGTTTTTCAGACACATAAACTCACCATTTGGAGCAAAGCAGCAGTTGACGGAAGCTTGCCACCGCCTCTTTAGTCCTCTTCCAGCTGTCTTCCTCTAGCGGTGCGTTGTTATCCATCTTCACAAGAGATATTTCCCTGGAAGATTTGCTTTCTTTATCTAGTTTGCTTAAATCGTGCATAAACAACCAGCCTGCAAAACAAGAACTTCCTGGTTCGTTGCATCTCCCGCCAATTATTTACGGAAGTGACTTAAGCGGTGTGGCGGTTACGTAATCAAACCCGTAAAAAGCGTGCCCCTCTGTGTAAATTTACTTTACTTTATTAATATTACTATTTTTATATTTATTTTGATATTTTTCATTTATTATCATTCACTTTTATTATTATGCTGGTAAGGATTCACAGTATTCCAGGTCATTGTCATTCCAAAAAAGGACAATGAAAAAAATCTATCAACTGGATTTTGTTTTCAAGTTTGAAGACGTTTTGCTTCCCATCCAAGAAGCTTTTTCAATTCAAAATTAAAACCTTCAACTCAATGCTATTCCTGACATTTTGAATCGAAAAAGCTTCTTGGATGGGAAGCGAAACGTCTTCAAACTTCAAACAAAAAGTCCAGTGGATTAATTTTCTTTTTTGGGAACACTTTTATTATTGTTAACTGAAAATTGTACTTATTGCTTTTTTATATATTATAAAGGACATTTTAATAAAGTTTATTAAAATAATTATCTGGTGATAATAGGAAATTTCCGAAGAATATGTTTGTAGAGTCAACTGCTCAACAGTCCTATATTATTATGATTAAAGCAACTAGCCAGACATTTGTTTAAAACCAGCTCTTACAGAACTTAACAGCATAACTATTATTGTTATTTGCTTTGCCCTATTTTAAACAAATCAAAATTACCCTTCCAGAAAAAAAGCTTTTACACACACGTGTCTTGTTTCATTACCGACGGCTCTTATCCCTGTTATTTGGAGAAAAAAAAAAAAAAAAAAAAATCTTTTTGTATTTTACTTGCTTTATTTTCTTGTCCCTAATCAAATTACCTGCACTATTTCAGGGAACTATGGCAACACAAAAACACATGACTGTAAAGAGCTGCTGGACCTACTGTCATTGAATTATGAGAGCTGTTATAAAACCAAGCACTAAAGTGAGGTTTAGACAATATTTTTCTGCAGAGCTGCTGCATCATCTGCTGCTTGCACTAAAAACTCATGCTTATCAGATATAATTGTAGATAGAACAGTCCTACCATTTAGACACACCATATGTCTACTAGTAAATCAGATACCATCATCAATAAACTCGTCAAAATTAAGGAATTAGTAATAGAAGAAAATCTCCTTACAACTTAGTGAATGTAACATACAGACATTATGACTGTCAATCAGTATTTGTTATTTTTCATAAAACTTGGATTTGGGAATCTGGTCACACCCATCTCTGTAGTGGCTGATCAGAGAAAACAAAACAATAAAAAAAAACAACAAACGGCAAAATTGAGAGAAAAAAAAAACATATTTAAATATTAACATTTAATTTTCCTCAATAAAGTATTTTTTTATTGATTTGAATCATGGTTTCAATATGATATGCTTTTTCATCGATATATAAATATGTTCCATCCCAGGGGTTGTACTTTTCCATGATTAGAAACTGATTTAATGATAAGATGATGTTCAAAATAACAATAAAAAAAAAAGCCTTATTATTACAACTATGAAAGGTGACATTCTACCTCAACATCAAATTCCCTCGGGAGGTGTATTGGATTTTTATTAAATCAGGGTTGGTGTGCAACTTATGTGTTTTTATGGCTTCTATTTCCCAAACACCTGCATTCTGACCAGTTAGTACACATGGAAGATACTATGAGTGTAACATCCTGCAAGACCAAATCTCCCACACATGTATAAGACCTAATTCCACATGTACAGTATGGTGTAATTGGAACTATAAAACAAGCACATGGAGATCATTTAAGCACAATTATACGTACCAGAGGAAAAAAAAAAAAAAGCAAGAATTTGTGTCATACAAATGTTAAAACAACCAAGTAACCCAGTTTGCAAATAGGCTTGACTGTGTAAATGGTTAAAACAAAAAAGACATTTCAGATATATTTGTTTAAATGAAAATCTCCAAGATCTCAGTAATTCTGGAAAGTAGCCTAAGCTGTTCACAAAGATTACATTTTGTGAAGCTAGATATCTGTTTGCAGTAGAAGACTCGAAGGCTTATAGATTATTTGTCATCATCAAGCCTTCAGCACTGCAATACAGTCAGAAACAATCTTATAGTGGAAATATTTGCATGAGAATAGTTACAGTAGATATCTTTTAAAAACCACTGTGGGCAGATATCCTTTTTGAAAAACCGATCAAGATCTAAAGAAATGCTAATCTCTCAGCCTGCACTCAAAACATGTAACAGATTAACAAATCAGACCATAAATATGTTCATGAACATAGTTTCTTTTTCCTTTTGGTTAAACAAATATAGCTTATTACCACCATACCAGCAGAAAGTCCTTTAATCAGAAAAGCTTATAAGTCTTTTTTTGGTAATTGTATGTAGCTGTTTAACAATGTATAGGTAACTTTCTATTTCTGAATAATGGAGAGCAATATAAAACTGGAGTATTATATGCTGCCTTTCAAATGAAACACTTCTTTTTTTTTCTAAGGAAGGGTCTTGCAGAACGATCCAAAATAAGCCTCAGTTTAAACATATTACAACAGCAGTTCTTGTAATGAGAGTCTGAGCTTTTGTTCATTCCAGATCTGCTGCTTTCCTGGTAAATGCTGGGTCTGAATCTTTTCCACAGCAGTGTATTCTGTTTATATTCACAGTATGTGGGACATGGGGTTGTAAACAATCAGCGCTATGACCAAGAGCAATATATTGCAAAGGCCAGTAGAAACATTTCTCTGCATATATATGAGGACGGCACAGACACTGTGACAAAAGAACATTCCCTTTTCTTAGAAAACACATGCTATTATTATTAATAGCATGTGTTTTCTAAGAATATTAATAACTTTTAATATTAATAACTTTTAATATTTTTAATTTATTTGCTTTTTCTTGTGTCTTTAAAATTATTGTGAAGGAGGGGGTTACAGCTTAATAGGGTTTTTTTTTTTGTGTACTCCTGATCTTTATTACATGAAATGACAGAACTTGTACTGAACTTACACTGAGGAACATTGCACAATTCTCTATATTCCTAAAACTTAAATTGAAATGGGAGGAATTTTCACATGTGGACAATTTAATCCCAGTTCATTCCTGATCTTGCTGTTTAGTAAGTTTCAACTAATACATGAGACAGCCCTAGAGGGAAATTCACATAAGTGAACTCTGTTTTCTTATTCAATATTTTCTCAAATAAATGTACTGCACGGGATTGTGTTCACGCATTCACGACTAAGGAGAAGCCAATGAACCTAAAAGTCATGTTTTTGGACTGTGGGAGGAAGGCGGAGTACCCAGAGAGAACCCGAGTATGCACAGAGAGAACATGTAAACTCCATGCAGGAAGACCGGGGAGGAATCGAACACGGAACCTTCTTGCTGCAAGGCGGCAGTGCTACCCACTGCATCACTGAGCAGCCCCGGGGGCTAATATATTCTTGCTTTAAATACGTAGAAGATTGGGATTGTAAAGTGACAAAATGCGGAGTTGTTCAAGGGTTGAACCTAAGCATCAGAGAGTAACAGGAGTGTTATTAGATACACTGCTAAAAACTATTGGTCAACCACATGAACAAAGTTGATGTATCTCAATAAAAAAAAACAACAAAAAAAACTTAATCATTTATTGCAACAGCACTTGAAAATTTTATTTTGATTAAAAAAAATAATCAACACATCCAAGATTACAGGTCAAGTGTTCAAATAGAGACTGGCTAATATTTAGAAGAGCTAATAAAGCAATTATATCCCTAGAGGGTTTAAGAAGTAGAAAAAATATGTTTTTCAAAAAGTGAGTACAAATAATTTCCTTTTAGTATCACCTAGTACTGACAATTATATTTATCTAGATATTAAAATGTGATACATTGGGGCATGCAATCAAAGCATTGCACCATTATGTACATTATGTTTGTACATTTAAGAATTATATTGATGAATACCCATCTTTGAAAAGCAATTCTAGATGCCCAATCACAAAAAGAATAATTTAATTGCATGAATATTGTGATCTGTTACATCGGGAGTAAACACAGAAAAGCAGTAAATAGCACATGATCAGTTTATCAACTTATTCAAGTCATGTGTAAATAAGAGTGCAAGTAATGCTTTTTAAAATAATTAAAGGTTGGGATATAGAAACAGTTCATTTAACCTTAAATTGATCAGTCTTTTAAGAAATAGATTTAAATTTGGTTAAATTACTTTATTAATTTGGAATGATCAGGTCTATGTTTTTACAGCTTTAATTGAGTCCAGGTCTTCGAAGTGGTCTTCATTGTGAATCGGTATGGTTTCCATGCCAATGTTTCCCATGGCAAAATTGATGAAGACCTGTGGGAAGTCAAATAACATTGTAAGAGAAAAGTTCAAAGTAAATAGTAATAATTTATTCTAAAGAAAACTGTTATATTTAGCTTATCGCCTGGTCAGCTTCCCAGCCCTACCCCCCCTCTCTTTCTTCCGTCTATGGGTTCTTCCAATCCCAGAGCCCCAAAGGGTTTAGAGTAGTTGAAGAATATCAGCTTTGGCTGCATATAAAGCTCATGGATTCTCTCCCAAACTCATATTCCATTTATTTTCCCTCAGGCATACCCTCTGTCAGTTTTCCTCTGCCTCTTTTAAACTTTCTCTGCTCTGTCTTTCACTCCCACTCAGCTTTCTTCTCTCCCTGCTTCCCCTACCATCATCCCGCTCTTTCTCTCATCTCATGTCCCTTTTTTCTGTCCCTTGCTACCCTCTCCCCATTCCTACAAAGCCACACAGTACCTCCCCATCTCCCTTTCTCTCTCTTTCTTTTTTACTTGGGTTATGTCCTGTCTTTTTCTTTTTTTTTTTCTTTTTCCTCACCTCATCCAGTGTGGTCTGGCTCACAGCGAAGTGTTTGATTCTCAGTGCATGCTTGTTGGACTCGAGCTGGCTGAAGATGTCAGCAACCCCTCCAGGAGCGTTTGGTACGTGGTATTCCACCATGGCAGAGTGCTGGTCCTATGTGTAGAGAAAGAAAACAGAGTTTATATGTTAAAAAAAAAAAATCACAGTGAAATCAGAATTACTAAACTAAAACGTTGGTAAAACGTTTTCTTGGAGAGTAAATTGGCATTCTTTGAAAGCAAATCCACAATAAGCTACATCCAAACAAAACACAAAGAATAAAGAGAAGCATTTTCTATTTCTAGATTTCTAAGAAAACAATCTTAAGCCCATTAAAATACAATTTTATAGGTCAATTGATAACAAAGTCAGTCTTGAAAACCAACAACCATAAAATAATGGTTATGAATTTGCTAAATAAGGTCATATCTAGTCCCATCTTATCTGCTTTGGGAAACTCTTTTGGCATCTTACTTAGAATTAATCCTTTTTTTTTTTTGTCCCCAGCGCTCTTTAGCTGGCACTCAAACCAATTAAACCATTGTCACGTTTTTACGGAATTGTTATTTAAATAGTAGGACAGGTTATTTTCAAACAGAATAAGAGGTTGGAGGCAGTGTCCCATTAATGACCCTCCTGTGTGAAATGCATACTGAGAAAAGAAAGTGCATTTTCTGCAAAACATGTTATACAAAGCAAAAACACTGGTGTATTCTAGAGGAAGGATATTTTTACACTCTATTACCTTACTTTTTAAGAACTAGTTGGTCCAGAAACTCTTTTTATGTACATTTCTCAGTCGCGATTTCACACAAGAAGATCATATCCAACCTCAATTTGCTGTCAAATAATCCCTGGCTTTTTAGATAAACAGCAAATGCAAACATGATAGCAATTTGAACTTTCATTACCATCTGTATAGAACCCCTGATTTGATTTTTGTCCATCTTGAACTGGCCATTACCGTCAGCATTAAGAAGCAGCTAATCTGGGTTTGTGCTAAATGAAGATGCCAAAGAATTATCCACTGCATTTATGTCATTTAATCGTTTTAACAGGATTTCATGCAAATTTTTATAATCCTAAACTCAAGATTTTGAATATTTACTATTCATTAATGTTAAAAATGTCTTATGAGGTGCCACAGCCTATAGAATCTACCACTCTGTATGGGATCTGTTTAAAATAAAAGAACAACGAAAAAACAATTACTAGCTCATGTTAAGCGTTTAGTAGCCGAACTTTAAATGTTTTAAGCAGTTTGTAAAGTGAGCAGTTTGCAGCACCTCACATGCCTCAAAGCCAGAAGGAGTAAAGTTTAAACCTACATCTAGATCTATGCTGCTTCATGTTTTCCTGGTGTGGATGCAAGCAACTGACTTCTGACACAAAACAATGAGGAATGTCAAAATCTGTTGTCAGACTACTATAGGGGGAGAAAAAATCTACTGCTGCTGGCTACTTACAACGACCTTGGGGTGTTATTACTGTCAGACATGGCTTGGCTATATTTGATCTCTTCTTTTGTCAATGTTTATGCTGTCATGTCATTGCAAACATAATTTATACAGTCCTAAATCTGGCATATTACCTGTTTACAATCATGGATATTGCCATTTTTAAGTTCTACTTTATTTATATAAAAGTTTTAGGGTTCAACAAGGTCAGAGATTTTAAAGTCCAGACTTATTGTGTGACCTCTTAACAATAAAAGACCTAGCCAAAAATATGTTTATTTTTATATTTTCAAATACATCCTTAGCTTGTGACTGCATTGTTTTTGTAATGATTTATAAAAGTCTCTTTTTTATCAAAATAAATTCATATAAAATTAAAACCTTACTATTTTGGAAAAAAAATGGGAAATTTAAGCATTCAATTTCTGTGTGGCATGTTTGCAACATATTTGGATAAAATCAGTTACTATAAATTGCTAGTATTTTAAAGAACTAAATCATTGACCCAGTCCTATAGACTTAACTATATTTGTAACTAAACAATAGATACAAAATAAATTAAATGAATACAGAATTTGACTCAGAATGTAAAGGACCTAAAGATTCCAATATATGAATGTTTTTAATGTGTGTAAATAAATGAAAGAATAATCATAACATTCCTGGTGCTCTTCTAAAGTCTTTCACCTTAACTTTACTAAGTACTTTTGACTTCTCTAAATGGTTGATAAGGCTCACCTTGAGGTATGTGGTGGGGAATCTGCGCTGCATGAAAGCAGTGATTTCCTCTGAATCACATGAGGGCTCGGCCAAGTACATCTTCACTGTGAACCCGCTGCCAAACCTGCACAAGGACGATTTTATAAACAAAGTACTGTTATGATGTGTCTGAGGGTTGGTAAGGGTGTGGGTGTAGGAGAGAGTGAGGGTGAAGTGAAGGAGGAGTAGAGGTCACTAACCTGTTCTTGATGTGCTGCAGGGAGCCCAGGCATCGGAACTGACCTTTCACCATGATGGCAAGGCGGCTGCAGAGCGCCTCACACTCCTCCATGCTGAGATCCAAAGACAAGGGGAGAAAGATAAAAGGTCATGAAAGAACCATTCAGGCTTAAAATAATTAGTCGCCAATTTAAAACTTGCTGTATATTTCATCTCCAGACCACTAAAAAAGAAGTATAAAACATAAAGAATGTAATGCTACAATGCTATTCAAGCTATTAATACAATTCATGCCTTTTTATCTTTTCTCCTTTCTATAAAAAGGGAAGTGCAGACTAAGTGAGCTGTGATGAGAATATTAAGTAGACTCTTGCTATATTCTTGATCTACTTCTCACCTGTGAGAGGTGAGGACAACTGCGCATTTGCCCCTCACTTCTTCTGTGATTATCTTCCACAGATGACGCTTGGTGCGTGGATCCATGCCAGAGCTTGGCTCATCCTGTGATAAAAATAATTTAAGAAGAGTAGTGCATTAATACCAGGGTTAAAGATGTACATAGAAATTGGCACATTTTCTCTATGACTTTCCTTCACTGATAATGGAAACTCAAAAATGACACAATTTCTCTATTACAAAACACAACACAACTAAAAACTACATGTGCTTAAATTGAAACTGGGGAAAGAAATTATTAGACTAAAATATTAGGCTCTTTTAAAGGAAACTACATGTTCTAAGACACTGAGACATGTCTGTGATTTATGTAGGATTTGAGAGGGAGAGAAAGTCTCAGCAGACTGTGTCTTGTATGAAACATGCTGAATTTGGATGCATTGACAACCTGAGATTAGATAAGGATCCACATTCTCAAAGGACAACACATGGAAGTGGCTTTTTTTTAACAATAATACTGATGCCAATCATGCAAAGTGTTTATTTATTAAAGATAGATATTCTTGTTTTTACAGCAAGAAGTTTTGATGTTAAGTAATTTCTATTTATTTAGCTGCTGGGATACATATTCTATTCTACTCTATTATATTCTAATAAATGCTTATATTAGGTAGGCAAAAATATTTATTTTTTTCAAAACCTTCTGATATACTTCTGAAAGAGGAACTAGAGTTGTATCATATTTAAGACATCTGATTGGTGCATTTCTGACTAAAATATTGCCATATTAAGAAATGAAAAGCAGCCTGTTAACAAAAGGCAGCCTGTAGAAAACACTGTAAAAGACGAAAGCAGAAAGATGGATGCTGTTTACAAGATTTTGATCTACGGATGGTGACAAATGGACGAAATATATAGAGGGACACAAAGAAGGATTTAAACAAAGCTACTGGCAAAAGGATTTCTGTAAAATTAAAAAAAGACCAAATATAGCTCTATATTTCCTTTTTTGTGTCCCTTGAGAAAAATAATTAGCCAGATGTGTCTGCATAGACGGTTCTGTCCTCCTCACCAGGAGCAGGATTTGTGGATGTCCGATGAGAGCCAGAGCAGTGGAGAGCTTTCTGCGGGTTCCACAGCTGTATTGGTCAGTAATGATGTTTCTGTGGTAATTCAGCTCCAGCCTCTTCAGAAGGTAGTTCACCACCTATAAAGGAAGCATGTAGGGGGTTAGACTGGGCATGAGCAGAATAACAAGTACCACAGGTTTCTCCTTTTTATTTTTACTTTTGAAATAATGCTGGAACTGCAAAAATCTCTGTTCATATAAATGGCCTCTAGTACAGACAGATACAAATATGTAATAATATTATTTTTGCATCGATCAAATTAATTCAAAGTTTTTTGACTAATTGTATTTTGGCCTGAAAACACAAACAGTTATAATTATATACAAGTAAAGTTCTGGTCCATGGTTTATACACTCTTTAACAGGATGCAGGTCATCTCAATTTTGGGATTTTATGAAGCATTTTTCTACAGTTGAAGGGTAAGAAAACAGTTTCTAATAACTGAGTCAACATGTGGAAATGTACTTTCTCTGATTCCCTTTTCCCCATCATCTTTGTCTCTGGTAACCACAAAATGAGCATTTGAGCCGTCTATGAGGACTCTTGAGATTTAAGTAATGCTGAAGTTGTTCATTTTGTAAGAGATTAGAAAAATCAAAGTTCATGTTGATTACAAATGTATAATATTCTTCATTATTTATGCTTCCTAGTTTGTTTCTGAATATTCACACTATTTTCTTTTTATCTAAAGGGAAGTTTTTGTCAGCTATAACAATTTGAATATAATTTAAACCTCCCAAAGTTATATTTATATACTTGAGTCCTTATATGCAGTTCTGATCCTGCTTAGATAAGAGAAATAAAAAAAAATTAATAAAATCCAAAATTGTGTATAAAACAGGTTTGAAAAAATGACCAGATTATTATTGCTATAACCATTAAATCCTGGATTAAGTACATGTTAAATGAATCAAAAATGGCTGACATTATCAAGACATCATGACATTGTAAGGTCTATGTATACTGCTGACTTAAGCTGTTGTATGTTATCTCCAGCTGGAAAAGTAAACTCCAACCTAATAGTTTACTAAATCAGATCTAAACTAACAAACAGTAGCTTGATTTTCTATCCCTTTAATCCACCAATTAGAAGCTCCCAGAGGAGGTCCAAAAAGCCACTCCTGCTTGGAGCACATCCACAGCAGGGAAATGTGGATTTATAAGGACAAGGAGCACGAAGTGGCCTGCTCCTTACTGGGAACTTAATATTAACGGTCTTACAGTAATTGCCTCCTCCTATTCGCTTTACAACAACAACACACTGACTTACACAAGGTGTCTATCAGCTCCACTTACATGAATATTTAATGTTGTTTGCACAATGATGATGACACTACATGGTGACTTTATTTAAAAATGGCTGCAGTCCTGAGGCAGCGGAAACTGATGCAGGATAATCCATTTGGTGCATGTCAGTAAAAAACAATAGCAATAAATCAACAAAGCAGAATGATGCTAAACAGATACAGACACTTAAAAAGTATCTACTTTTTTATCAGTCACACGAAACTGAGCTCCAATACTGGGATGCTTGGAAAAAGCTTAAGGTCATTTCCAATTAAACTATGGCCCTTTTCCCATCAGCTAGTGAGTTGGAAAAGCAGATCAATGAAGCAAGCCAATGCAATATCTACCTCAGTTGGCTTAGATTTCCTGCTTTACTTTTGTGAGAGGATTTAAGCCTTAGATGTTTGATTTTTTGTTTGGTTCACTGGTCCAGGTAGCACAAAAAAAGAAAAGAAAAAAAAAACTCTGCAAATTTAATTAGTTAAGAAAACCGCTCAGTACTGAGACAACAAATCTGATAGACTAGTACTCGCAGTATTTTACCTGTTCAGATCAAAATATGTTGTTTTCATGTTCTCTCCTAAAAGCCACCCTCCGACACCTTTGATGCAACAGCTCATTAAGCTGACAAAACCATGCCAATATGAAATGACCCCATTAAGGTTTGTCTCATTATCCACAGCAAGAGGACTGTCAGTGGGGGACATCATAAGAGAAATTCTATATATAACTTCATCATGGTGAATTAGGTTGACATTGACGTTGCGGCTATTACGACCATTGTTGTCATTAGCCCTGATCAGACGGCAAAGGGCCGGCGACAACAGCAGCGACAGTGATTAGTGTCAGACATTATTTCTGAGCTTCATTGTCTCTCTGTGTCTTTGTGAGTCAGAGCATACATGCTGATGTTGTCCCTGGTTCTGTTGATAACACGAATGAGCGTGTCAGAGGCAATCAGTGTTTTTTTGGGTTTCCGTGGAAAATGGAGTGGAGGAAGAGAAAAGGAGGCAGATATCTTTTTCCGTATAATCCAGATTTGTCATGACAACTGCCGCGCCAGCTGTCAGCACTTATGAGAAATGATAGTACGTTTCAGCAGACTACCAAAAGTCAAAAAAGCCATAAACATATCTTACATTTTATGTGAAGAGAACCTTTTGGCCTCCTTTGCCTTTGATCTATGACAGCATCCCAGAATGTCACCTCGGTCGACCATAGCTGGATCAATGTTAGCTTTTAGAGATTTATTGCTTTGTTCTCTGAACTAATGAAATCAGCGTGAGGTCACAGAGGGATGTGATTGCTCTGTGTGGTCAGTGAGGTGGGCTATAAAAAGATTAATGGGTAAGGAAAGCATGAGTCATGAAACATGACTGAATGAATCTCTTTTAACCTGACTTGATGACAATGCTAATTTAAACTGAACTCATAACTTCCTTCACTAAAGTGGAAACGATTCTCAGTTGTGCTTTAGTTATTCCATGGAAGTAAGCCATGCACTTACAAAACATATCCATCCTCACTAGGATTCTTTATTTTCCCATTAATTAGATGATGCAAAATGCATTGTTAATATACTTTTTTATTGCTACAGTTGCATTTAATAGCAGATTAAAAATACTTAAACTAAAGTTTATGATTACAAAAACAACAAAATTTGGATTGTCTTACTAGGAAATTTGTGGTTTGTTTCAATATGTGACAGTACCTTATAGGCAAGGGCAAGTGTGTGATTTTCACTATATGACAAAACTTAGTGAAAAAAATGGTGCTTCAAGGTATCGTCACAAAAAAGTAAGCTAGTATATTTGCTTTTTTTGAGTGGTTCACAATTTAAAACATGGTATGAGATGGATATCGCAAAAGTTAATTCCCTTTATTTGTTTCCTTACCTGAATTTAACTCTGTTACACAAATGTGTTGTAAAAAGACCATTGGTGAATTGCATTCTATTGCATCAAGAAAAAAAAGATTTCTTGTTTTTTTATTAAGTCTGAAAAGTGTAAGAATCCACTAAATCTACAGGAAAGAAAGAAAAACCCTGAATTATTCAAGAACGTATCCTAAATATACTTAGGTTGAAGTTGCCTCATATAAAAACAATCAGAGGAAGAACAAGACTGGAAATATTGAATAATTATCTATTATTATTGAACTTTGACTGCTTAATTTTATGCATACAAGTCCAGTACTTTGGGATCTAGTTATATAACCACCATGTCTGCAGTTGAAAATAAGTTTAGTCAAAAAAGCAAAGGAGATACAGGTTATCATAAAGAAAAAAAAAATGCTATATATACAAAATGTTTTCAAAGCTCGTTCTAAACTCCATTTTCTTTCTGTTCCTCTGCTAATTTCTCTCATGTTGGCAGCAGTGACAGACAGGCACGCTGAGTAATTACCACAGAACCAAGATTGATTAGTTCTCCCAAAGATAAATGAGAAGAATGGGGATAAAGTGACACATCAAATAAGATCCTACCACCATCAATGCATCTTTTAAACACAAATTTGCAGAGATGCTAAAAAAGCGTATGCATTGATGAAAACTTCAGTCTTCAATTCTGGAGCCAAAATAACAAAAGCTTTTTCCATTTTGCTGTGGACACTAGGACTTTCAATACATATCACACGCCTTGATTAAGTATGCATGGAGGCAACAGCTTCTTCTCTTGCAGTAAGAGTGCACCTAAGAATGTGTATCAGATACTGTGTTGTTTTGCATATGATGTTGTCACTATCCAGAGCTTTGAAAGACAGCTCTTGCTTACCCCAGCTATCTCCCTCTTTGAGATGCCATGAATGCGGGAATAGAAGTACAAATGTTCTTCTCCAGTGAGCAGTTCGTCAAGAGCATCCACTTGGGGACAGTAGCCAATGTTAATTCCCTTGTCACGGCACTCCATGATGTCTACCAAGCGCCTGGGGGAAGAAAAATACATGCACAAAAAATATTCTTTTAAATTTCTTCAATGCTATATCTTTCTCCACTCCAAACTTTATAACTTTGTAACATTGTAAGTATTTAAAGTGTACTTGTGTCCTCTAATAAATAAATAAAAAACACTCTACAGGCACTTACCCATATATATCTGCATTATTTTGGAGTAAAACTTGAAAATGTTAAATGTTATGAATTAAACATTGTAGCCTACAGCTTACCCTTCGCTGTCCCTGATCTGTGCAGAGCCATCAGTTGGGCTCACATCTCCAGTCAGCATCTTGAAGGTGGTTGTTTTTCCTGCCCCATTCACCCCAAGGAGGCCAAAGCACTGAAAGGCAATAATTAGTAACTCAAATTCAGATGTTAAAATAGTAAGAGTAAATAGATCTTAATGCAAGCTTTTAGAGCTTTAGATGACAGCAATACACCATAGAGAAGGGAGGTGAGAAAAATTAATTGCAGTTGTTTTATTCCACTGTTGCCAAATGCTTTTTGAAAGGGATCAAAGCTATAAAGTTATTAGCTTGATGCGAATGGACTGAGTCCCTTAGTGAAAACCTCTCTGCCAGCTAGAAATAGGAACTAAATTTGACTGACTGCATAACTGATTGGTACAGATATTTCTTTATTGTTTGTTTGTCATAAATATCAAGATATTTGAAGATCATTTTACTTCTACATGATATGACAGTAAATTCCAGCTGGTCTGTAACATTGACCAACAACCACTATCTTCCAAAAAAAACGTAACTTTTTAGTGATTTACAATGATTTCCTCAATTGAATTTGAAAGAGTTTAAAAATAAAAAAGACTTAAAATCGTAAAAAAAAAAAAAAAAAACATAATTCAGACTTTGCACGGGTTGATTATTAATTAAAAACAATGACCATTTTATTTTTAAGTGGTCTTTAATTGGATTAGACTGCATTATCCATTGGTTTTTTTATTCACCGTACTTAATTTTTTTTATTTGGTTCTAAGATCTTACCTCTCCAGCAGGGATGCCCACAGACAAGCTCTTGACAGCAGGCACCTTCTTATTGAGGTGTTGATAGATTTTAGTGAGCTGGTTGATCTGCAGCAGGTCGGAGCTGGCTGCTCCGCTGGCCACTCGAAGATGCTCTGTCGCCACATCCTCATCATCTTCTTCTAGAGCATCCTGAGGCAGGGTCTTTCTTCCCAAGATTAGATGCCTACAAGTAGAGAGAGATGTATACATATATTAGTATATATGTAAAAAATAAAGAAGGGGGATGGTGATTTTTTTTTTTTTTTTGGAAGCATACATAGCCTAATTAATATAGTTTATTAACCTAAAGTAATAGGCATGGTATGGTTGTTACATGTCAGGTACCCCAGTCATTGACCTTGACCAAGGCACCTTACAGTAGAACTGCAGTCAGTCCCTGGACTGGCATGGCTATCTTTACCCCTACATAGTTAGGGACAAATTCCCACTGGGATCAGCTTCATAATCATGGTAGGGCCACTTCTTTGATTTTATTGCCAAATGTTGAAAGGGCAATATTATTGCCATTACTGTTAATATATAGTAAAAGTTTTAAACATTCAGTAATAAAATGTCACAGGGGATGGTACGGGGGGGATGGTCATTTAAGAAGGAGGATGCAATCCCCCCTCATCCCCCCTAAGAGAGTTTTCTAACTATTTAGCTGCTCCAAAGAGTAAACAGAATGAATTTATGCAGCACTGTTCTAGTCATACAGTAATGTTCACATAACTGCATTCAAAGAGTCCTACACTGATACAAAAATCGTTAGGCAACTTGGTGTTAAGTGCCTTGCCCAGGGGCATATTGACATGTCACAGGAGGAAGCTGGTATCGAACCCAGATTCTTCCACTGGATGACTGCTCTGCACACTGAGCCATAGTCACCTTGTGTGTGTTACACACATCCCAATGGTTAGAACACAGTACAAAATACAAACCTTGAAAGAAAATTCTGTAGATGTCATACTGAGTGTTAAGGTTTAAGACACAATGCTAAAAAAAAAAAAAAAACACCTCTGGAATCTGTTTTTTCGCACCTGACTTTGCGTACGAAACGCCTGTTGAGCAGGAGGCGCAGGGTGAAGAAGAAAACGCCTTGGATGAAGGAAGATATGAACATCCATCCCAAGCTCTCTGTGGAGAATGGATTTTTGTAGGCATCGATTCCATAGCCATTTAGAATCTGGACCTCGATGTTTGTCCTGGCCAGCTCCATTAGTCCGTTCCCAAAGTTGAACTGAGGGAAGATGAGGAATGCGTGGTTCAGCTTCTTCAGTATCTCATGAATGACCTGTAGAAAAAAAAGAGAAAAATAAGAGGAGAAAAAATAAATAAGGTTAAAAATCCTAGTTTAAATACTTTTTAATTTTATTTCTATAAATGCTGTGCTCTTTGCGAGGTATGTTGGTTACCTCAGAATTCTGGCTTGATATTTGTCCCAAAAAGTAGAGAATGGAGGTGCAAATGATGGTATTGATGCTGAGGAAGAGGTTGATGCACACATAGGCGATGAAGGCTTTTTCTACATCTTTAAAGAGCCCTGCTAACAGATACATCCAGGGGAATGTGGCGAACCTGAGAATTTGGCAAACAAAGAATATTTTAAAAACAAATCACCATGAATAATCAAACAAATACTGTCAAATGAAATGATCTTTAACACACCAAAGAGACTAAACAATAGGTGTGATCATGCAGGTATCAAAGAGTATTGGAAAAGAAAAAGTGGAAAATATCACACCATGAGGTGGGTAAACATTCAGTCATGAAACAGACAAGGATAAATTACTTCTCTTTTTATTCCCTAGGTGAAAGAACGTCTTTCCTTTTTCTCTCAAATAAACTGCATCACCTGATTGAGGGTGTGAGATTAGCTGGCAATAGAAAAAAAAGGAATCGAAGGGAGAAATGAAAAATAAAAGAAGGAGGGACGGAATTGAAAGAGACACAAAGCCAGACAGAGACAAAGCGTCCGTGTGCCATGTCCAAAAAAGGTGCTTGGTAGGCAGACTGAGGGTGCCAAGCCATGACAAGAAACAGAAGCAAGAAGGCTGCAGACCAGACCAGGTGGGTGCAGCCTGACAGATGGAGCAGTGCGATTAGTCATTGCTTGGGAGGGAGACATCTGTCTGATAAATGAGAAGCAGAGTGCTGACTCTGCCTACAATGATATAGGGCTCAGTATGAAGCCTGGGAACAACAACGGCCAACACAGAGGTCCTAATTTTAATTGATGAATAATATAATGAAGTATTGCAATGCAGATAAAGAAAACATAAAAATAATATTGGTTTAAAACTTCTCTTCAAAACTCTTCATCAGAAGGACTTTAAAATTCTAAATCAGAGCAATCACTTATTACGTCCTTCTCCTTCAGCCAAATCTTTAGCTTGAATTGTAACAGCATCTAGGTAGTGCTTTTTATAACATACTTTCAATGCTAATGTCATCTGTCCAAAGAGAAAAATTCTAAAACAAAAAAACATAGCTTGTGCTTTTCCTCTACAACAGCAGCCTCTGTCTGGTCCATGCTGTAGATTTAACCTAGCCGCATACAAAGTAACACCCATTAGAGATTTGAATTCCCACTGCATATGTGGAGAAAGGCTGTTGTAAATGTAGGAACAGCTGAACGATCACATGGCTTAGGAAAATCCTGTGCAAGAAAGATTGAGTTTTTGATTAATCCAGAGTTCCACTGTTTGCCAACAGATTTTTCAGTGTTTATATCGAACATATTTTACAGGCAGCCTGCCAGAAGTCTGTTACTTACATTTTGTTACATTCTGAAGCTTGGCCAGCAGCTCCTAGGCCTTACATTAGAAAGCAATGGGGAACCATTCCAATCAAATACTAAAGCATAGAGTAGTTCATTATCCGTAGAGATATCTTGTCTAATGTTTTTTAACTTTTAAATGACATCTCCAGCGTTTAGGGCTATAGGGGGAAAAAAATCAAGAAGATTCTGCAAGGATAGCTATGGTTTAAATTCCAATAACAGAGTAGAAAATTCTCTTATTCTCATTATAATAATATTGCTTCTTTCCAATTCCAAAATGTAACAGCATATTATATGGTCTACAAAAACTCTCTATCCCCCGATGTCTATCTATACCTATATCTATGTAAACTTCAACTTATTCCACTTGATGTAGCTAGCAAAGGTTAGACCTATCCTTTGACATCAGTATTTTGAAACAGTGGTCCAAGCCTTTGAAACCACTCGGCTGGGTTACTGTATTGCACTTTATAAGGGTATAAGTGATTCATGTATTTCCCAGGTTCAGAGGGTACAGAATGCTGCTGCACGTCTTTTAACAGGTACAAGCAAATTTGATCTTATTTCCCCCATTTTAGCCAATGTGCATTGGGTGCCAGTACATTTAAGGATTGATTTTAAAATCCTTTTATTTGCTTTTAAAGCTCAAAATGGTCTTGCCCTGCATTAAACATCAACACACACCTTCTCGATCCCTTAGATCAGTAGTAAATGAGGGTGCAAAAGACAAAACACAAGCTTAGAGGGGACCCCTCTTTTTTTTCAGCCCCTAAGCTGTGGAATGACCTTCCCTTGGCCATTAGACAGGACTCTTCACTTTTTGATTTTAAATATCTTCTTAAGACCCATTTCTTTTCCTTGGCTTTTAACACAGTCTGAGGTGTTCACTTTGTCTTTCTTTGTTTCTGTTATTATTGTGTTATTGCTTTTTATTTTATTACTACTTTTATACACCCCTCTATTTATTGTTTTTATAATTTATTGTTTGAATTTCATGATTGTGTACAGCACTTTGGTCCTCTTGGGTGTAAAAAGTGCTTTATAAATAAATTTGGTATGGTTTGTATATACCTTTTTTTTTTTAAACTACAAATCTCAAATAACGTCTCTCATAAAAACAACACCACACATTTACCCTGGACCTGCACTGCCCTCATTGCAGTAGCAGTATCATGTTGTTGGGATGCTATTCTCCAGCAAAGACAAGGAATGTGACAGTAGGAAACGTCTGGGGCAAAGGTCAAACCACAAGAAAAAATGACCTTAAATATAAAACCAGAGCTACAGATCTAGTTCAATTGTGATCAGAGGCTTTGTATGTAATCAGAGCTTAATCTTGTGGATAAAATTAATTTTCTTTTTACAACACGGTGCTAGCTTTTACTAAATGATTTATTTCAACCGTATGATAGGCTGATTTCAAATCACATGAACATTAGAGCAGCAATGCCCAAGGGCATTGATCCAATGATTTATCTTGTATAAAGAAAATATATTTTAAAATGTTTTCCAAAAATACTTACCCAAAGAGCACAAGAAGTAGGCTGATGGCACCTAAATTTTGTCGATCCGTAAAAGCTGGAATTTGGAAGGCAGCGATCACACAAATAGTCAGAGTCACTGGGATCAAATAGATGACCTGTAGGACCACAACAATGGTAACAATTATATACAGACTTTATCTCCCATATGATTTTCGGTCATTTGATCACATGGTTTTGTGCTGCGTAATGTTTTGTTGTATGTTGTTTATTATAAGAAAATAATACCATGTCATAGAAAAAGTTCACAGCCCAGTAGAAGGGCTCGCTGATGCCGGCAATGTGCTGGAGCCTCTTGGAGCCACTCCTGTGCTCACTGACTTCGTAGATAGCAAAGCTGGCTGTCGTAATTGAAAATCCTGTCAGTATACACATGGCCACCAAAATCTGGAGCATTCCCTCGACGCTGTGGGGACAAAAGATTATTTAGAGGATGTGATTAAGTGTTAGTTATGCTCATGTTTCCTGAAGTATTATTAATCAGCAATATTCGCGGGGAAGAAGTTGTGCTCTGCTTTGTTGCTTTTGAATTGCAGCGAAGACAAATGAAGCAATATACTTTAATGGGGCCAGATTTTTTTTTTTTTATTCTTTTTGAAATTCTGCGCCAAATGATCATTAACATCCCCTGCTGAGATCTGACTCATTTGGACTATTGAAGTGGCGAGCAATAAATGGAATCTCATTAATAAGTAAAAACTTTGTATGGAGAGATGAATGTGCCTCACTTACAACAAGATAGCACTGAAAGGAAAAATAATTAGACGGTTTCATGTCTACTTCATGGTGGTAGAGGGCATTGTCCTGATATGACTCTCAAAATCTAGTTAAAGCCAGATTCAGTTTCTGATGGTCAAATTATTATATGCCCTGTCATCATCTTTTCAATGTTTCTTACATCCACTGAATACTGCTGAATTCCTTTTACTACTATGTTCTACTAGGGGTAAAACACCACAGATTAGACTGAATATCTTGAAGAAGGCAAAAGGGAGGGTGAGAATAAATCTGACAGACTGACCAGGCGAAGGCGAGGAAACAGCAGAGAGGGACATGTGGTGGGTGTTTTCAGGGGCACCACTTACTACGGTAGAAAGCCAGGAGCGGCAGCTACTGAGCAGGCTTGTTATCAGTTCAGCCAAGATAACCTTACAATTTCTCACATGGGCACAGCTACAGCATGGCCAGAATCAAGACATTTGAAGGAATACATCTGCCATATCTTTAACACAGTACAGGCCAAATCAATAAATCAGGCGAGGAAGCCAAGTATTACCCTAGAGTGAATGAATGAGCAAATGTGGTCCCTGCAATATGTCAGCAGACAGCAGCTCAGGCTTCAGGAGAAACTAGTGATAAGTAACAATGACCAGACCATTGAGAGGGTTTGCTCGAATGGAGTTACATAAAGGAGGAGTCCTTACAAAGCAATAAAGCCTCTCAAATTCCTTCTAAGAGTGATCAATCTTATCTTTGGAAGCAAGTGTTTTTGCATACAGACATCCAATCATCTCTAATGAACTTTCAAAGAGAAATAATAATTATCTCTAATAAACTTATACTGGGAAGCTAGGAAGAATCAATCCACCTTTATGCCACCTTGCAGATAAACACATCATAGTGGGACTCTGATCAATAAAGCAAGCTAAAGAAATCCATCCAGAAAATCAAATATAGGTAAATGCTGCTGTCATGTTTATTAATCCAGGCTGACTTTACTGTCCGATTTTGAAAAATAGAATGGCTTCAGAAAATCATTTCAGGTCATGCAGACAACAACTGTGTCATACTAATTTAAGAAGATTTAGACTGATAGATGTACGGGATTTGCTGAAAAACATTCAAAATCCCCTTTTCAGTTTTAAAAAGGTGTTTTAATGTAAAGTGAAACAAGGTGGAAAAACTCTAATGTTTTGCACACTACCATGAGATGCATGCAATTTAATCAAGGTGCAAACAATTGAGAGCTTAAAACCTAGAGTAGATAAAAAAGAACCACAATGTTCTGTTTAGCTTTCAACCATTACTATGGAACTTACTTAATTGTGCATAACTGTCAGCCATCTGTAAATCTCAGAGTATGGTAATAATCTGCATTATTTTAAGATTACACAAAGATTGTGGTTTTAGTAATATCGGCAATGCTCAGTTTGGGAATATGTTAGATGCAGTTTAAAATGTGAACTTTGGTAGTTATTAGCATAATAGCACAGATGTTTTGCACAAACTGCTCCTGCAAAAAGTGAACCATGTTCTATATTACAAAAACACATTCAAAGTGGGAAGATAGAAGCATATTTTAAATGGTTGCCTTAAAGCATCTTATGGTCCTTAAACAGAAATCCTCCACAGGTCTTAGCAGATTTTAAGTCTGCAGAAAAATGTTTAATTGATGCATCAGTGGCTAATATAAGTCGGTGTCATTTTCTGTTTCTACTTTTGTGTGTAAAATGCTTAGCTTAGTTCTTACATCGTGTCTTCATCATCCATTCGGCCAAAGTAGGGGTGGCTGGAGACTGAAATTGCTGTAATAGAAAAAACAAGGTATTTTATTATGAGTGGCAAAATAAAGAGAAAGAAAAAAAACAGCATATAGGCTGATTTTCTTTCTTTTTTTATACAGCATAGAATCAAATGAGCAATGATATTCTTTTAGCCTGGGACACAGTCAATTGCAAAATACACAACAAGATGATTTGATTTGCTGGTGCACACACAGGGAGAATTGAATTTACTTTGTCATTTTCCTGCAAAATTCTAGATGCTCACTGACACAAACAGCTCCTACTGATGTTTCTGTTTACATTTCTTGAGACTGGAAGAGCATGTGTCTACCTGAAGTATATTAGCCACAGAACTGAATGGAGGATCAGTACATTCCTAAAAAGGAGCAAAAACTGAAAGAATGGAGCCTTTTTTTTAACTAAATCAAATTAATAACAAAAAATGCCGATTGTGCTTGGTCATGTTTGTATAATTCCTTTTAGCTACTGGAACACCCTTTTCTTATTGTGCAATATATGCTAGATTAATCATGAAGAAATAAAGTTTGTCATGAAAATACACAGTCTGTCTTTGTATTAAATGCAACATGGCGTGTGTACCTTCAAATTAAATTTGTACAATTTCCAGGCAATGTTACTTCTCTCTTATATAAAAATGTGACTCTAAATGTAAAAGCATGCCAAAGAAGCTGAATCATCCAAAATACAGGTTGACACTTTAAGCATGTGGCATGCTCTGGTGAGTGACTCTGGTTGCCTTGACAATAGATGATGTATATATATATATATAATATTTACCGGGTATTACAGATATGTTAAGTCTGAAAAAAAGATGTTTTTTTTTTTTTTTTGTGAAACGTAAAATCCTGTCACATCTACTTGATGCTGCTTGTAAACAATATCCTAAATATATTTAATGTTTTGGGGTAAAGAGTACAACATTTATATTGCATTACTCCAGAAGTACAGAATAATCCAAGTTTGCCATGAAATGATCAATAAATTGGTCTTTAAGTCATACCATATACATACAGCCTGCAAGTGATAAATGATTATAGGCTGAATAAAGCAGAAAATGAGTCAGAGCTCAATGCTGCTGGTGACTCTTCAAGCACTTGGCATGCTGAGGTAGACAAACCATCAGTGAAAGAAAAATGTCTTCTGTATTTATCTACATGATTTAACATCAGATAAACTTGTCTTACTATCAGGTTATTGCTCTGATATTTACGGTGCACTTCCATAACTGTGATGGCACTGCTATCTATTGTTTGTGTGATATTTATTATTAGGTTGTGGTACTAAGGCTACCAAACCTTTCAGCACATCTGAAACAAAACTTTGACATTCTGTCCTAGAGAGAGAACAAAATACCTATGCCATGCATTCAAGCTAAAAAGAGGGTGATATTCCAGCATCCATTTAATAGGGTGGCATTTTATTTGTCTGGAAATATATCCCTATTTCCCATTTTGCCAAGCTAACAGCTAAATGTTCTAATTTTTAAGAATTTTTACAATCTAAATGGAAAGTGTTTTAAATGATTAAAGATTGCAATTAGCATTATACAATTATAAATAATAGACAATGCTTTTTTTAGTTCATAACTTTAGGTTTGACTTATTATACAGCTGATGAAATTAATTTATTTCTCAAGGGGTTGCTGGAAAAAGTTTCCTAATACAAAATGCGGTACCAGTGGTTTTGATTAAAATCTAGTCTTGACAGTAGAGAATGATGATCAAAAGTGTTATAGCACATCTGCAATAGTGGGTGGATATGGTCAGAAATCCTGCGAGATGGGGATGAAAAAACTGTTTGATGCAGACATCTAAAGGCTCCCAGCCTACTGCTTGCACTGTAATGCACAATTCGAGGGTGAGTGCATCAGTTTTGACAGATAAACTGGTCACCTTGAAAAGTAATCTCCCTAAATCCACACCCTTGCCAGCCTCCCTCATTAACAGGAACATTTAGACGGTTAGACGTTATCCTGGAGCAGTCCAATCATTTACAGGGGAATTAAAATGCATGTGTCTGTTTCTCTGTTCATGCAAGTGCCTGTGTTTATATGTGCTGTTTTTATTATTCAAATATGCGTGTGTGTGTGTGTGTTTGTGTCCTCCTGCTCAAAGGCAGATGGTTGGGGTGCTTCTCAGGGCTGAAACGAAACAAAAAAAAAAAAAAACGTGGGCTAGCCGCGTCTCTCTTTAGCATAGCTCCCCAGTGAGTGACACTAATTAGTATGCACCACGCATCATAATGTTAGAGTAAGGACACACAGCACCCCCTGGCTTTAATCTAGCAAAAATGAACCATGAGTAAACAAGCAGTTTGCAGCTGTCTTTATTTAGAAGACTAAATGTGCAGACTGTATGTACCTGGTAATGCTGATATGATGATATAACTCCTTTTTTTCCCTCTCTCATTTCTTTTTCAACTGATCTTTAGGTTGTGGAATAACAAAGACTGATGGTTTGATTAAATGAGTACTTAAGGATCACATTTAAGCAAAGCTTCAACAAGTGGGAATACTAATACACAATCTGTTCTGTTCTTACCTGAAAATGTCCCTGAGACAATTTGTTAAATCTTACTCACCATATTTCTGTGGATCTTTGTCTGCTGGAATATTGGAACGCAGGATCAAATTGTTGAGGCTGTTTAAGTATGCCGGCATTGTGTGGTGCCCCTCAGGGTTGAACCAGACCTATGATCATGAAGTCAAACATTAAAAAAAAATACCCACATCATGCAGGTAAAACTAGTGTGAGAATTCTGAGAACTAGTTTGAGGAAACGTGAGATTCACAGAGCTTCAGACATTATTGTGGGGAAACATTTGCATGCTAAAAGATCACACAAATGTCGCAGTTAAACTGTATTTATGATAACGGTAATGATTTAACAGTCCGGCTCAGTCTGAGAGCATTAATCTTGCAGTAGAGTGTAATTAGGATGTCTCAAATTAGCTTTTAAAAACCCATCAGGATGGCAGTTAAAATGATAAGGAGACACACAATGGGAAACTACAAAAAAAAAAGAAAAAAGAAGTCACCTTAGACAGTGTGCGGTTGTTGGGAACAGTCTTAAGGTCCATTCGTAAGTCAGGTGGGAGTGGCATGCCAAAAGTAAAACCGCCATACCTGAAAAATCAGAGTGGACACATCGATCAAAACAAGCAGCTCTGGCTCCTGGTGAGAAATAAAATGTGACATGCACTCTGTTTTTCAGTCGTTTCTTTTCTTGCCCTCACAGCAAATATCCAACACAGAAGTGAAACCCGTTTTGAGGCAAGACCCCAAACAATGAAGATTTAGAGTCATCCAAAGCGTTAAAAGCTATTTTATCTCAACCTGAGCCAGAATGAAAAGAGACATTTAAGGGAGGCACTTGAAGTGCTGTCTCACTGTTTCTTGGTGTAACATGATGCATTTTACATGGAACTGAGCTCAATGAAAGAAAGTGTGCTTTGTAAAACAATGTACTTTTTTTTTTACATCTATGAAGCATGTTTGGTATACTACCATTTTGTATGTACAGTATATTTTTTGTTTTTGCTGAAAAAGGGTTTTAAATGTATCTCTGCATAAAAGCTGAGAATGTTACTCTGACTGTGAAATAATTATTAACAGGTTTCTGCAGCACTTTATGGCATACAGAGGAAAAGGAATAATTTGAATCAGGTGTTCTGGAACTGAGGTGCATTTAAAGCATAGAGGGAAGGGGTCCCTGAGGGCCCAGGTAGGGAACCACTGGTGTTGAACAAGATTAAAAATAACTGTTTAGTTATTATGTAAAGAAACAAAATGGGATCTGTCTAACAAGATGTTGGTGTTTTCCTACTCTGAGGATAACTACACTTTTCTAGGAAAAGATGCAAGTACTATGAATGTTTTGTAAATGATAACAGATAAAAACCTAGCAATGCCATCTACGTACGGCATTGGAATACATGGCAGTTATCCATCTGTGGGAGCATTCTTAAAGACTTATTAATATATTTCTACAAAAAAGTAACAATAGACTAAGCCATCATTTACCTGTTCCTGATGAAGTCATTAGCTGTAGCCACCAGGTAGTTCTCCACATTAAAGCCAGTCAGATTATAGACGATCTGAGACGAGGGGGCCTTCTTGTAGGGAGGCTGAGAGTTCTTATTGCATATCTGTGGCATACAAAAGACAAAAAAGCTTGACAATTGCCTCCCTTTTACAGTGATTAAAGGGGACTGGAGGGGACAAGCGAGAACACAAAAACTCAATCACTCGCACACATACTGTTCTTGTTGACCCAGTCTCACCTGTTCCTGTTGGTTGCATTTACACACACTAAATGGTTTGGAGATGTTCCCTCTGGAGCTCCAGTTGTTTGTGCTCCTTGTGCAGACCCTTTAAAATAAAAAAAAAAATGTTTGAATTGTGATAGGAAAGCTTGGCATGTGTTTTTTGATCATGCTAAAATAAAAATAAAAAAGAAAAGAAATCATATCAAAGAAAGCTGATCCTCTGTGTTTGTTGGCACCATACTAAAAAGCTGTATGCTTTCATTGAGAGAAAGGTCAATCCTGCAATGAGTCGTGAAGTAGCTACGTGAGCTTGGGTGGTTTTGTTGAAACTAAAAGTTACATTTATTCTCTGATCACAGCTTTCCAAGCTGTTTAGTATGTGTTATGTGATATTGTGTGAAACATGTGTTTGTGTGGGTTCATGCTCAACTCCCACACAGTTTTCTTTCTACCAAGTGCTGTTAAGGGACACCATGCACAAATAAAACAACAGATTGCAGAAATACATGCACAATAACGGTTAATAATATATATATTTTTTTTTACAAACTTACTTCTGCACGATTCTTTGCAAGAATCAATGATTTTTTTTCCAGCAGCATAAATCTGTGAGCAAACATGCGGACTGTTTTATGATTTTGCTCTTCTTTTTTATGTTTTCTCTTAATGATTTTTTTTAAGGGTGGCATGGTGGGGGGGTTTAAAATTCCCCAGGGTTCTGCTTCATGAGTGCCAACATTGATTTGAGGGCCTGCCATGGGAAAATATCCCCTATAAACACGAGGTGTTTATGGAATACAGATGATGCTGTCACATCGCAGAGACCTGCTGCAGGCTTTCAGCCTCATTCCTCAAACTGAGGAGCAGGGAAATGAAGAGGAGAGACAGAGAGAGAGAGAGACCAGAGAGAATAAAAAATAAAAGACTGAACAGAGGCTGTCCAGTAAAATGGAATAAAGAGAGAACCAGGAGGCACAAAAAGAATAACAATCACTGAAAAAAAGTGTGAAGACAGTTAGCAAAATAAGAGTGTTTTTTTAGCAAATGGGAACAGCTGGAAGCATAATTACATACTGGTTATCAGAGTTGTCGAGGCAGGCGTTATCGATCCCTGGGAATGACATCATGGTGTCCACCAGATGGCTTGATCTGGGATTCTGGTTACTGTGGAGTCAGACAACGTTCAGCTTCGACTTAAAGGAACAAAGAACTTTTCAAGACAAGATTTCTTGTTTTATATAGCACATTTCAGTAGCAAGAAAATTCAAGTGATGTACCCGAAAAAAAAGAAATAACACAGAAAACACAAAGAGAAAATTACATTGCAGCTGCATGGAGGTAAATAAATCATTAATGAATATGCATAATTCAAGTAAAAATGAATGATTAAAATTATAGGATAATCATTAATAAATGAATTATGAAATAATTTAGAACAAAATGAAAGTTGGATTACAGACTTACAAACTAATAATGCTTAGATAACTTTCTATTGCCACTCTAAACAAATATGGTTTTATTGTTTCAAAGAAACTGAAGCTTTACAGTTTTCTGGTAGTGTATTCCATATAAGTGGAGAAAATTAACTAAACGCTGCCTCTCTATATGTGGTTCTGCTATTAGGTACATTTGAGCCAGAAGACCTGAGAGGTCTGGCTTATTAATACACTAACAGCAGGTCTATAATGCATTTTTAACCTAAGCTGGTCAGTGGTTCATATACCAACAGAAGTATTTTAGAGTCTATTCTCTGAAAGTTGTGGATCCAGTGTAAACATTTTTAAAACTGGGGTGATGTGCTTCATTTTCTTAGTTTTAGTGAGGACACAGGCAGCAGCATTCTGGATCAACTGCAGCCGTCTGATCTAAATTTTAGGAAGATCAGTGAACACACCGTTGCAGTAATCGATTATACTAAAGATGAAAACATCAGGTAATTCTCAGGGTCCAGCTGAGATATTAGTCCTTTCATCCTGGAGATGTTCTTTAGGTGACAGAAGCCTGATTTTGTTTCTGTCTTTATTTGCCTCTGAAGGTCCAGGTCTGATTCCATCACTACACCCAGACATTTAATCTTATTGGTGGTTTCCAGCTGAATTATATTAAGCTGTCTAATGAATTTTGAACACTCTTCGCTTGGTCCAAACAAATATTATTTCAGTTTTGTATTGATTCAGCTGAAGATCTATCAAAATCATCCCCTGATTGATTTCTTCTATGCTTTTACACAGAGCTCAAATGGGTCACGTAAGTTGGAGTGAGACAAAAAGTCAGCCTGATGTGTTTTCCTGAGATTTCTTAGCAGAAGGCCAACATAAAACCTATAATCAAATTGTGCGAAAGACATGTCCACACAATCAGTGGCTGAACAACATAAGCGGATGAAAGGCAGAGATGAAAGGAAACAGGAGTAGTTTGATTTGACACTTTAGGTTTTTGCTTTGTTTAAGCCAACCCTTCCTATTTAACTCAGCCGTATATATAAACCATTACATAATAATAACCCATTGCTGATACATCAAATACAGGGAAATGAGAATAAAGTAAAATCTTTTAGCGAGGAGCTTAAACAGCATCTAACCTACATGTGTGCCCCTACCCTTATTATTCCTGTTATATGTAATCAAATGTCATATTATTGGTCTAATTTGTGTGTCAAGCTAAAGAGGTGTGGGAGGAGTGTCCACTCCAATTCTGATATGGATTCACACTTCAGCATCTTCTCCCCTGCTTCATGTCCTCTTGATCAAACAACAGAACATGTTGAGAATGAAGCAATCTCACAATCTACTGACACTCTTCATCTCTCCCCCTTTGATCAAGCATCACAGCCCTCTGCCTCTCCATGATCTCAAACCTTTGCATTCTTAGCTGGCACCTTGTACTTTAAGTCCATCTGCCCTTCAACAAACTACCACTTCAAACTGATTTTACAAGAGCTGCATGCAAATGAGGCAGAAGCGCACTGATTAAATCAGGCAATTGTAGAAAGTTTGGCTTTTCTGTTTTAAAGGCTACTGAGGTTGTTTCCTGTAAAATTTCAGTTGTATTGCTTCTTTTAGGTTATTTCCTATATCCAACATCAAAAAAGTCCAGATAAGACTCCGACTGAAATGGTGCTGATAAGGACTTTAAATTCCCCTGACCAAAAATGCCTGTGATCAGATCACATGCTTTTAGGTTCCAACTGAGAGGACTGATTGCAGCAGTGCTACCATTCGTCTGGAGCCGTGATTAGCTTGATTTACTTCTTTGATTTCAATTTCTGGTGTGGCCTGTAATTTCTCTGGCAAACAGCTCTAACCTGAAGAAAGAGTAGCTCGGTCCGATGTTGTAGAGAGCAGGGCTCAGCTCCATCTCAGGGTAATGCTGCAAGTCGCTCTTGATGGAGCCCAGGGCCATAGCAACTGTTACAAAGAGAACAGGAAGCAGGATCTGGGCGATCAGACCCTTCCAGTCTCTCCGGCTGTGATGGAACCTCTTTATCAACATGGCTGTTAGCTGCTGCCATGCCAGGGCCATGCCTGACAGAGTGGATGAACTGGTAAGCTCTGAAACACAGAAGACATCAACAAAATATTTAAATTAGATAAGCATTTTGTTCAGTATATTTTGAATAGGTAGGAGAAAATAATTCCAGAATAGTAATTATTACCCTATTAAAAGAATAATGAAGTGTGTAAAATGATTAACCTTTTATGATATAGAACACCATAAATGTGTGTATTTAAAGTGGTTAGTACTTTTTAAAACAAATAATTAGGTGAAAACTTGAAGTTAACCAGATAACCTCCCTTCATTCTGTCTTTTCCTTGACAAATCCCCCTGTGTTACCTAACCTCAGTATAAATACAGCTGTTTGTGTAAGGTCTTTATGGTAAAATGTTTACTACCCATTATATTATTATGAACAAATGGTTAAAAGAGAGACATTGTTTAAAGAAACCTAAAGATAATAGAAAAACCAAAGAAGAAGGAAGTCCTTATTGTATGCTGAGAGCTAAATGAAACATTTAGGCCTTTTTGCAAAATACTACATGCAGCACAGAACTAAAAACTGAAAATTACTCTAAGGTGCTAACATGCTAACTGCATCTTCGTCCTGTAGGGATGCAAGGATCAGTCCTGTGAGACAGCCTCTTAGTGTGGAAGGATTTATATCAAACCATATAAATGTGTAAGAATGGCCTAATCCAAACAAAAGTCAACACAGAAACGGGGAAGAAAATCTATTCATTGATTTTCTCTGTTCATTCTTAAAGAAATTTAACCACTTCAGAAAGAGGAATATTTCAGTTTCTTGACAGAAAATCCGTTAAACTAATTTCACTGCAGTGAAAAGTTATTTTACAAAATTTTATCTCAGCACGTTTATTACAAACAATCGAAAATCTAAATAAGACAATTTTTCTTAAAATTAGTGCATTTTGTCTTGAATGGAGGAGGTAAGTGAAACACTTTGCCAATGGAACAAGAAAACATACATTTAAAATAAGAAAAAAAAATACATTGTCTTAATTCTAGTGCACAATATCTAATTATCTTATTTTAAGAGTGAAAAAACTTCATTCTAGATTGCATTAGCAAATCATCTTATTTTCCCTTTCAAATTGAGGGTAAATAAGCCTAATTTAAGAAATGTTGACTTATTTCTAGATCGTTTTTGCGGTGCAAATGCGCTCCACATGTTTTTTGATTTTAAAGTTTTAAATAGATTCAAGATGTTCCCTTTTTCTATCCCTCACAATTAGGCACTACAATATGTTGGTTTTATGATATGATTCTGCAATAAAATACAGTGAAATAATGTGGGATGACAATTTCTGATCAGATGAAAGTAATGTAAATATTTTTAAATGCACTTTAGGTGATAAATAGAATGCTAAAATACCATAGTTGGAACACAGCAAGAGAAAAGAAGCAAATTGAGCAATGAAAAAGAAATACAACTCACTGATCTTGTCACCAAGGTTGCAGCTGCTGTCGTTGGAGTCTGATGGGATGCTGTCGATAGAAGAAGTGTCAGAAACCGTCTCAGAGATAGAGAGGGGCTGGTACTCGCCTTCGGGACCTCCGTTAGTCAGCTGGAGGAACACCTGCATAGATCCAAATAAACAAAAAAAGTTGTAGTCATTCATGGTTTCATACTTTGTTTTAATATGCGCCCATGTAACAGCTAACCTCTTCCAGTGTGGTGTCAGACACGCCATAGCCTCCAAGCTGAAGATCGTCCAGGTTTGCATCAAGTGCTGTCAGGAGGGAGCGATATGAAGAGGCGTTGGAAGAAGTGAAGGGGGGCAGAGAGTAGACCACATCACCCCGCTGGGTTTCTTTTAGTCTTGCTTCAGGAAGATGAGCTTGGATGAAGGCCTTCAGGTCAGCACCATCAACGCGCTCGGCCTCTGGGCTTTGGATCTTTATCAAACAGACAGACAGAAGAACACAATCTTTTTTTTTTTTGTCATTTCCTTAAAAAAAAAAAGTTGAAAAGTGACACAATTCTCTAAGATGGGGAAACATTTCTCTGCTTATTACAGTAGAACTATAAACCTAACCCAAAGTTTGCCACATCTCTCAGTGTAAGCTATTCATGTTTTCATTTCAAATATCCAACTCATCACAAGTAATGAGCTAGGATTTATTTTCCACATGAGCAGTAAAGCTCCCCCATTATACATGACTATGAAATGTTTAATTCATGTTGAAAAAGAAAAATCCCTGCTTGTTATGATGTACCACAGATATAAAGTTACCTAGTTCTTTTTTTGCACTGAAATTCCTGCATGCCTGTGAGGGTGATTACCTTCTTGGTGAGGGTGAGTTTGTAGCCTTGACCCAGCTTGTCTTTCAAGTAGAAGGGTGATCCGCAGCATTTCAATCCACCTCTCTCCAGGAAGGCGATTCGGTCACTTACCACTTCAGCCTCGTCCAGGTGGTGGGTGGACATAATAATGGTCCGGTCTAAAAGGACACACATATATGAGAAGCTGCACCGTTGACTCAGGGATTATTAAACCAATAACTATGGCCTGAACAGAGTCATCACAAGGGGAAAGAAACAAGAAATATCTTCATACAAACTGTCCCAAAAACCGGTTTATGAGTGTTTGTTTCTGAAATACACTAGAAACTCTCAGTGCAATAACATCTGAAAAAGCCAATTTTTGAACCTTTAATTACTGTAGGGGTCAAAACTTTACATACATCCTTCTGGGTAATACTGCAAAAAACCACATTGTCATTACAGCAGCTAGTTTAAGACTAAAATAACTCAGAATGTTTGCAGATTAGATGGTATTTATTTTTATAACATACCCAATGGAATCCCTTGTTTCTGCTTCCAATCTAACTCAAAATATAGCCGTGAAAAATAGAGCAAGCATTTTAACTTATCTTTTGACTCATCACACAGTACGCCTAGAGTAAGTTCAGGGTTCAGTTTTGCACATTAAAGGCAATATCATGAAAAATTCAAAAAAGATGAAAATAACTAATAGTCAAATATGAAGAAAAAATACATAACTAAAAGATACATAAACAAGGAACAAAAAAGTTTGCCTGGAAATGATGTTAGGTCATTTGTTGCCTTTAAACCAAGCAACTGATAAATAATTTGGACACTAAAACAAACATGCAGCAATTGTAACTCATTCTGAAGAAGTAAAGTCTGCTTCACAGCTGTAATAGGCAGAGTTGAAGATTGAATCTTCGAGTTTATTGTTCTCTGGAAACTCAAACCACTGACATTAAAGTAATTTGTTGACACATTTTCAGTAAAGGGACCCTTTTGAGATGCATCGTGTTGGAAATGTTATGATTTGGACACTATGTGTTGCCTATGACTCAGTACAAACTGCTCTTACCTAACCTCTTATTTCTATATGAAATACAAAAAGCCTGGAAGCTTAAACTGTAAAATAACAAAAATGTATGGATGATAGTAAAATAGGTCCACTGACATTTTCAGGATTTTTCTTGTTGTTTGACCACATTGCTGTGATTTTAATTTTGATATTAAATGAATTAGCAAAAAACGAAGTAAACTTAGCAAATAACCTCAATATAACTTTCTTACTTTGACATTGGCAGACCATGCAAGAAACTTTGCAAATTGATATTTTCCAGCCCATGCATTGTACTTAAGCACTTTTAAAAGAGTAGGTTATCAAACTTTTACTGCAATTCACAGCTTAAAGTGACCTCATAATAGATACTGATCACTAGAATCTTAGTTTCTTTAATTAAAAGTCATAATATATTTGCTCTAATAATGACTGAGTGGATAAGATAATAATAATAGTTTGTATTAAAGGAGCTAAACAGATATGTAATGCCACAGTTTCATTAGTTAATTACAATTTGTCTGAGAATATTACATTTATTAGGGATTAGACCAAAATGTGTAAATCGAGTGTTCAATCCAGTTGCACTCATTTGCAGTGTTAATAGCTGTAAATGGTAATTTAGCAATAGTTACTTAAACCAAGTTATATTCTGTTTACTAAATCAGTATATAGTATGTGAGACTCACTCTTCTTATGCTGAATAATGATGTCCCATATGCTGCGTCTGGAGCAGGGATCCACTCCTGTTGTAGGCTCATCCAGAACCACCAAGCGAGAGCCACCGATGAAGGCGATGGAGATTGAGAGCTTGCGCCTCATGCCACCTGACAGGGTGTCAGCCCGCTTGTGTCGGTGAGCGTACATGTCTGACTCCCCCAGGATGCTAGAAGATGAGTCAATAGAGACATTTAACGTAGGGCTCATGTGAACATTTTTCACTCTGTTAAGACTGAATGTTGTATTGCTTAATTTGCCATCAGAAGTTTCTGGAATTGCGAGAGCTTTTTGCCTAAAGGCGAAAGCTTGATTCTGCTTCTCTAATAAAATGGAAACCCCCCAGAAGGGGTCTCATGATGCAACATAGCTTAGGATAAGACAGAATAAAAAATGACCCCCGCCCCTCACTTAAACTGGTTCAAGACGATGCAAAAAGGACTAAAATAGATTATATCACATGCTCTTGTAAAAATATTCCTCCAAATTGTTCCATCTAATGCTCTGTGGAAAAATATATTATTGAACTCATGAAAAGCTGACATTAAGCTCATTTCAATGGTCTTACTTAGACCTAATTTTACAGAAGCCTTAACATTCTAACAAATCAGAGTGGTTATTGCCCTAAACTCAAACAGAATGTTAATTTAAAACTCTCATATTTTACACAACCAACAACCAGATCTTTTTTTGAGCTACCGTTTCCCCTATGGCTCTCATAAATCCAGACTTTTAACTGGCACATTATGTTTAAATCATTTGGACATATTATAAACATCAACCCCCCGTGCTGATTGATGTGTCACTTACGTGCGGACTTGTTCTCGTAGCTCTCTTTGTGACCAGTGTGGAGCCTTGATCTGGCCGTACAGCAGCAGGTGTTCCTTGACAGTCATGTAGTCAAAGAGGACATCATATTGCATGCAGACCCCCAGCTCTCTGCGAACTTTCTCCATGTTTCTCTGCATGTCTTTGCCATACACCTCAATAGAGCCCGATGTTGGGGGATATAGGCCAGTCAGAAGGGACCTGTATACAAAGCAGTTTTTGACATTTAGTACACAGTTTGAAAATACAGACACAAAAGGCTATGAACCCCATTAGCATTCCTCTTTATTTTTCATTTTTCTCTTTGATAATTACTTATTGTTCCCACAGTTATTATGAGGCAGAAAAAGTAATAATTCTTAGTATTTTTCAGAGTTATTTAATCTTGTAATGCTGATAAACTCATTACATGTCCCCCTGGATAAGAGCATCAGCAAAATGAAAAAAATAATTGATAAAGACCCATTGGCTTAATTTCTACTGCTGTGCATTTGCAGTGCCAGATTTGAACAGAACAATCTCTCTGTCTGCACTGAACCACTAAAATGATTAAAGGGATGCACTAATCGAATCTTGAAAGAGCCTGCATTGGTTATAACGGGTCAGGACACACATACAAGCTGACAAAACAAAAAGCAACAAAAATGGATCAACCGTACATGGTAGTTGTCTTGCCAGCACCGTTGTGACCAAGCAGTGAGGTGACATGGCCCTCATGGAAGTTGACATTAAGGTTTTGAATAGCTGCCTGGTCATCATACAACTTGGTGAGACCATGAAGTGAAACTCCCACTGGAAGATCAGAGAAGTCCTCCCCAGACTGGTAAGAAAGGCTGTTTTTGCCTGATAGGAACATAAAAGTGAATCAAATAGCAATAAAAAAATTGTAATTAAACTTAATTAAAACGAATAGAAGTATGAATAAAATTGATCTTAGGGGAAAGAAAAAGCAAAATAAATTTACCTTTTCCTTTACCATCTGCAAATACAGGCTGGTTGTCCTGCATGATGTTGGAGAATAGGAGTCCTTTGCCTGTATTGGTGTTGGTCTGCAAGCTACTGCACAGGTTGGTCCAAAAGGAGAGCTGGAAGGGGAAATACCATGGAGCTGGGATGCCATATTTTCCTGATGGATTATAAACAAAACAAAATGGAAATGTCTTTAAAAAAAACACATATATACAAAAACAGTGTTGTCAGAAGGGACCCGCATACAGTGTGAACAAACTTCACTAGCCCTCTTCAAGAAGAAACGGTAAGATAACAAATTTATGCTATATTATAAGGTCAATTTGGCTCCTAATAGAGAACATGTTTGTTTACTTGAGTGAACACTCGTTTTATGTTGCTAGCTATCACTATCTAAGTTAACCAATCACACAAATTAAAGAACTGGTGAAGAATCTTGTAATTGTTAACTTTTCAAACTTTAATAAAGGAACTTTAATAAAGCACAACAATATAGATTATATATATATATATATATATATATATATATATATATATATATATCCGTTTATGACCCAGAAATGGGTCATAAAATTGTTTTTAATCCAGCAGTCTTTATGGATAGAGAAATATTATAAAGAAATGTATCAGGAAGAAGCACAAGCTTAATAAAATCAATAATCAGTTCACCTGGGAAGACCATTCTGATGTACGCTCCGATGAGGAAGTACAGAATAGAGTCAATAAGCAGGAGCCAGCACAGCCAGCCAAATGTTGCTGTGTCTCCAGCTATGGGAGAGCTGTAAGAGTTGCTCCACTGAATTCCTGAAGGAGAAAAGAAAAGTGAATGCTTGATTCAGCTGGCTTAGATGTCAGAAATATCCTGATGGTATTCAGATATTCACATGCTCTTACCTTCTCCTTGGGCCTCATAGCGGGAAATGTATTGACTGGCGTAGCTGAAACAGGTCGGCGAAAACAAACTCTGTAAAAATATTTGAGGCATTTTAACAGGGGGGTTAGAAGCAAAACATGATTTTGTCAAAGAATATTTTACTGTGAAAAAAGAGCATACATGTTTGTATCTTTTAGAATAGAATACAAAGATGCTTCTCGAGGGAAAATGGGCTTTAGATCTTAATAGTCAAGAAGTCCGACCTCTAACTAACACTCATCACAGCAGGGAGTTAATTAAAAATAAACTGCCCAGAGACTCAAAAAATGCACAAAAAAACATCTCTCAATGAGCTGGAAAATAAATCATGATGCGAGCTACAAAAAAACAACTTTTTTTTGAGTCATCATAACTATACCATAACTGTCTTTTGGTGAGAATAATCAAAACTAGCTTTTTTCCCCTACGTATCTCTAAGGAACTATATCCTAGGGCTTAATTATTACACAGTTTAAAATGCTAGTTTTATTTATATTAGAATAAAAGCCAATTCATAGAATGCTCACCAAAGCGCTCTTCTGGGAAAAGTTTAGATTAGTCTCCATGGACATGACTACGATGAAAGGGAAGAAGCTGAGGATGTAGATAAGGCTTCCGCTTAGGCCAGCGATGTAGGTCTTGTCGAAGAAGGAGCTGATCAGGTAGCAGAAGGAAAGGATGCTCAGCCCAAAGTCACAGATGTAGAGGAAGATGAGGAAGCCGTCGCTTTTGGGCAGGATGTTTCCACACTTCAGCACCAGCGTTAGGATGATGATGGTCACAAGCAGGAAGGAGGCGCACTCCAGGAACCAGGCAAAGAAATGGCTGACTGGATTCACACCCATCATTTTCATGTACTACAGTGGGAAGGGAAACATTGAGAAAACATTGGTTTATACTGATGAGTCAGAAAAGGAATTCAACACTTGAAGATGTTTATAAACCCCAAATCTTTTATTTTTTCCACATTAGGTCACATTACAGTTGTCTACTTAAATGTATATTGAAATACATATTTTAAAAAATGCGACAAAATTTTGTGAGATTATTTCATTGGACATAGCGCTACAGCCTCCTTTCACTATAGTTAAAGCTGCAAATCATCTGGGATATGTTTCTTTTACAATAACACGTTAAAGGTATACTATGCAACCGGTGGTAATTTTCCAGCGAGGCTCCCCCCAGAGGGCGAAAGTAAAAGTGCACTGTCGTAAATATGCTCAGCTGTTCTCCTGGTTTCTCCGTCAAGCCAGGCGCGGTTGTTTTGAGCTTAGCAGAGAGGTGAACGCAACGAATCACCATGTCTACTGCGGTAAGTGACTATTTTGTTGTTTTGTTTTCATACATTATTTGTTATGCATGTGTCTAAATAACAAAGATTGTAGTTAGCCAAATTCTCGCCATAAAGCAAGACTGACTCTCGCGATGCACGAGACTTCTGAGCCTGTGGGTGCGGGCCGAGGGCTCCTGCAATTGCAAGTGCGGTATTTCCCCTACAGACCACCAGGGCGGCAGAGAAAACCTTTGTTCGACCTGAAATGACTAATTTAATCATCCAAAACGTTATGGAACACAATAATTAACTGAAAAATGTTGCATAGTATGCCTTTAAGAGGTTTCAGTTGCTCAAACTCATACAGATTGGATCAGCTCTTGTACATCAATTATCCAGTTTAGCCACAGATTCTTAAATCTGAGATTTGACTGGTTCATGCTTTATACCCATTATTTTGTGCCTCTGGTTTTATTTTAGGGTGAATCTCCTGCTGAAAGCTTTATCTCTTGGTTAAATAAATAAAGAACACGGTTTCTAGTTTTGAGTTTGTAAAACATTTAAAAACATTCTGCTGCACAGTTCTGACCTCTGTGTTCCTGTTTCAAATTATAATACTAAACACACAGGATTTTTGGTTCGAACATGATATAATCTTTAAAAAATGTATGTGTAAATGCTTTACAACAATGACTTGATTTTTCAGAGGTAGGTATATTTCTAACCAACATTTTTACTTATTTGCAAAAATAATATTTGAAATCCAGCAGGTCAAAATACAGTAACGTCAATTTTCAGAAAATATAAAATACCTCATGTAGCCTCAGCTCTCTCTCCTGAACCAGCTTTTTCACAAAGTCAGCCACAAACAACACCCATGGTATCATCAGCAATAGAGGGAAGACAAAAGAGATGGCCTCCAGATACCTGAGAAATACAGAGATGCCAGCTGTCAATCAAGATTCTCTCCAAACCCAGCATCCGAACAGATGGAAAGCCCTATCATTCAGTCACTAGCCTGACAGATTGAAAAAGAACATGGAAATGCTGACAACTGCATTGTCATTCTCATCCTACTGCTGTTTACAAAAATAGAATAATCTGTATTTTGGCTTTGTGTTAATAACTCAAGCTAACAACCTGAAAAAGTATAGATCAGTGTATGCAGTTTGCCATTTGCTTAAATATTGTACAGATCCTTTTTTTAAAGTTGTGCTGTTTAGGTAATAAATCTAAATAAAAGAGAAGGAAAGGAAGGCTTGTAGACTCTTGTAGCCAGTCAAAAGGCAGACAGCCAGAGAGAGAGAAGCTCCCCTGGTGCTTTTCAGATGAGATACGAGCAAAGTTAAAAGCTGCAGTCGAGGGCAAGCACACATTTAGGCATTAAGCTTAACAATGATTTATTGAAAACCATGTTGCACGGCAATGGATAAGTTAATGTCAAGCCCATGTTGGATATGTTTGGCAGAGAGAGAAAAGTGGTGTTCCTTAAGGAATTTTTTTTATAGTTCTGTTTGAGTCCCTACAGTATTCAAAATATAGAAGGTCTTCAAAAATGAATGTGGAATTACAGTGAATGTCAATGCACATGATGCAGAGCTAATTGGACGATGACAGGTTCTTGTGAATGACTACTTACTGTTATTCCCAAATGGCAAATGAATAATGGAATAGCATACATTATTCCACATCAGTGCTTGTTCCCCCTCAGAGAGAGTCTGTATCCTTACATGCTACCTTGCTTGCAGTTATCTACTGTCTGCATATGCATATCCTTGAAAGCAGAAAACTTACTCGTCGCGCAAATAGCATGGATAGGGGAAGGACTGCAGCTGCACTGCTGGCTCTGTGACTTTCTGCCCAGCCTGGGTTTCAATGATTGCACGGTCGATGTTCTCCTGCAGGTAGACGAACCCTCGGTTGTAGCGCATGGTATGGGTGGCCGAGATGTGGTTGTCCCTCACAAAGTAGGGGTTTCGCACCCTGTCTGTACGCATTACATTGTCCATGTGCATTCTGATGGTATAGCTGACTTTAGGAGGCAGTTGGGATGAAGTTGCATCTTCAGTCTTAAAGATGACACCTTAAGAAAAAATAGCACATGTATGTATTCATAACTTTGTTGTTTGTTATAAACCAAAGCCTTTTTATGTTAAGCCTGCTAGTTTTGGTGCATTAATAACAGCTTTAAGAAAAAAAATCCACCAAATAATCCACAAAAAGTGACACATCACACAGCATGACTCTGTTCTAAAATGTAATCTGTAATTCTTCCATTATTCAGTGCAATAACAGCATCCCTTTGATCTTTTTTTATTTCAGTAATCTCAATGGAGTAAAATAAGTCACATTAAACCCTGTTGTCCGAAAACCCCAACTCCATAAACATGGATGACCTGATATTTACTCACTTGCATAGAGCTCACGGTTTTTGGCGAGCTCTTGCGCCACAGTGTTGAGCTCTTCAGCGGAGTCAAAACCACGATAACGGTCAAATTTGATGCAAGAGGAGAGCTTCACCATCAGGTTTGACAAGGTGCTGATTTGATCAAGTATTTCCTTGTTCTTGTGAAGCATCTCTGTAATGTTAGCTGTGAAAAAAAAAATTGAAATTAAAATGGTGCAGAAGCATATGACCAAACGGGATAGATACTTAAAATTTAAGCTTCCCTTTAGTATTGTAGGGAAATGTGGAAAAAAATAGGTCAGAAGGACAAAAGGACTAAGAAGATAATTTCTAAGGAACTGCTCAGTTATATCAGCCTTTTATCTAGGCTTGTTTGTAAAAAGAGAGAAAGATTCCAAAATATAAGAAGAAGGCTAAAAAATGCTACATAAATACATATGTTGTTTATTTTGTTGTAATGTAATATTCTGTTTTCAATTAAATCCTTGTCAAAGGTCATGCATGTATATACACGAATAAATATAATGATAAATGAAGTCTGCAGAGATATTTTAATTTTGAAATATTAACCTGATATAATCAGATAGGGCAAAACGGAGTTTAACAAAACTGCACACTACAAAACTTAAGGTGGTCTATCTCTTTTCATTTTGGGGCTATAAACATAAAACAGTTTCCAAAACCTTTAGCCTTTACAACTGCAATAAAGAAACACGAAAAGGAAGAAAAAACACTTCTGTGCAGATTCTAAAAGCCTTTCCTGCTTGGGCTAGAAGGCCTTTCTTTTCGCTTTGAGCTTATTGTAAACCAGAAACTATCACTTTACAACGTTTGATTTGATTTGGGAACAAATCTTCACTGCATCATCAACTCAAAAAACACAAGTCCCTTTACTTTATATTAGTGTACTTTATTATGTGTGAGTTCACATTTAAAAGATGAGATGTGTTTTCAGTGGTGCAATTGTCTGAATCTCATTTCACAAATTCTTGGCTTTTCAGTTCGGGTTTGATCCATTTTACCAAAGTTAATTAGAAGAGTGAGGAAATACGCATACCGTAACATTGGATGTTATTCATTAAAGCTTCATTATCTCATATAATGCAAATATTACTAAATGATTATTGAATCTAACTAGCGTTCAGGTTTATGTGCTAGAAGATGGGAAATGTGGAAGAATATTAAGTGTGGAAAATGTTTATATGTAAATGTTGAAACAGTGATTCTTTTTTTTTTGCATTTCACCATTGCTTTTAATCTAACAATGCCCTACTCTGTTCTTTCAAATCATAACCTGGAATTAGATTCTTTATGCCCATAATCCCAATCAGTTCAAAAACTTGAATATCAAAGGTAGACAAAGGAAAAAATTAACATAAGCTGTAAATCCCCCTTTTAGCACCTAAAAGGTAAAACAATTTTTATCTTCCAGTAGTGTGGATATTTTATACGAGTTATAAGTGAGAGAAAAATCTAAGAGTAAGGCTGGTATCTGCAGCTACCAAAGTGAGACCCACAAATGCACACTTACAGAAGCTGCTGAGCGTCTCCTTTATGCTGTCGACATTTATGTCTGTCTGCATCTCAATGAAATTCTTCACAAAGGAGTTGCTGAGGGAATTCTGGCAGAAAGGTGGAGGGAGTGAGAGAAAGAGAGAGAGATTGAAACTATCAACATCATCAAGATTCAGCTGCAAGAATCCATCGAAGACCACTGCAAGGTTTATCTCAAGATTTTCAAACGACAGAGAGTAGGCTGGCATAATCAGATATAAAAAAGTAGCTCTGAGATTTCATACCTGCAGCATTGGCAAAGTGGAGCTGAGTAATTCGGCTGACTTTATGATGTAATTTGAGGATTCGATCCAGTCCTCCGAGGATTTTTTAAGATTTGCAAACTCGTGCAAGGTTGCATTGGCCTGAGCAAAGTTAACACAAGGACAGCAAAGAGTCAAAAAGTTGTATATCAGCAGAAATTTTCAACTTATTGTGTGTATGTGAGTTTGTGTGTATGTGTGATTGCAGGCTACCAAAAAAAAAATCAGATAGACTTAAAATAGAATCGTGGTTACAAGTAATGCATACAAATGTCTACACATAGGGAACCTTACAAGTCTTTTTCTTTCACTGCATACCAATGCTTATGCTAGATTTGAATGATTTGGCATCCAAATACTCTTAAAACATCAAAACACCACTTCAATCTTTGAGTCAAACGCTCTTAGTACAACAGATGACCAAATTAGAGTGCAGAGGGGATCTTGCTTTTCAGTGGCAGCCCTTAGTCTCTAAGGAAAAGTGCTCCTGGATATTAGTACTGCAGAGTATTTACAGTCCTATAAATTCCCCTGAAAACTATTTTTTTTCTGTCTGGCTTTTATCTTGAGTTCAGTGTGAGTTCCATCAGATCTGTTTCTTAAGTTTTATTTTTGTTTAACTTTTGTTGGTTTTATGGGTATCTTCTGTTTGTTTTTTTTTGTTTTTTTTTTAACCCTTTTGCAAAGCAATTTGGTCACATTCATATAGAACATTAGGACAAAGAATCTCCCATGACTCAGATAATCTACAAATATGCAAAGGTGAAGAGGTTAATTCCCTGATGAAAGTGTACCTAAATAATAAAACGTGTAACCTAGTAAAACATGGAATTGCATGCTAGTGAGTCAGACATGCCTACAAAGAGAGGCTGTCCATTCTTTACAGCTTAATGGTAAATCATCAGTATCATTAAGTAGGTACACCATGTGTATTTAAAAAAAAAAGCCATTTCTGTGTACCTTTTTCATTATGTCCCTGGTGGCTGGTGTGTCGGGTGTGAAAAGGATCTGGCCCATCAGCATGGGTTTCAGGAAGGCCCAGGCGATGGCTCCTCCTGTGGTGTTGACCATGTCCAGGTACATGTTCATGCAAAAGGGAGCTGAGCAGAGGAACAATAGAATGTAGGAAAAATAAGGTAAGGGAAAATAGGAAAATATACAAATTTAAAAATTGTGGAAAACTGAAATGGAAAAAAAAAAAAACTACCTGCGATATGATATTGCCTCTACTTTGAAAAAGATATAGGTCCATTAATAACTTTTATATCCCTTCACTAGACTTGACAGTTATATAGTATACACCATCACAACTATGGTGTATAGTATACACCATAATTGGGATTTTAATCTGCCCAGAAAATCAAATATGTATTTTTTTGCCTTCTAGATAATTTCTTTAGATAATATATGAACATTAAATGTGTGTTACTTTATATTGGTGGACTGTTTATGGTCTGATCAAATAACAAGGTTTGAAATTTACAATTTACTTGTAGCATATCGGAAATCTTCCTTTTTCCTTATAAAGGAAAGTATTCAACATTTCAGGATTAAGGTAACATGGGAGAAGTTGCTTGGCCTCAATTAGCTTTGATAGTCGAGCTCAATAGATAGAGGATTATTTGTTCCCATTAAGATTTTGAAGATAAGACCTTTAAGCAGGTATTAAACATACTTTTTTCCCCCAGCAAATTCAAATGTCTGTATTGGAAACTATTTTTATCAGTGCGATGTAATCTTCTCATCTTGAATGCTCCTTTTTTATTACCTTTAAGCAAAAAACTAATTCCAATTAAAATAAACATGGGCTTAATATCATGTGTAAATAATCAATATAATCTGTATCACTTAGACAGTATTCAAATAAATAAAACTTTCAAAACTACATTTTAGTTTATTAGATGATTTACTTAGGTACTATAGTTCAGCCTTGGGTAGAATTGTACCCTCATGCTTTGTTCCTCCTAGCTTTAGCGAGGCAAATGAAAACACACGTCTCATCGCAAATAATTTCAGAAAGTGATCCAGCTTGTAAAAACTGTATTGCACTTCCAACATACAGGCATCCTTTGGGATCTTGAACCTCTCAATCATCTCAGCCTTCTTTTGGTTGTCAGGGAAAGAGGGTCCTGTTTCAGACAGCTCAGGCAATTTGGAGATTCCAAACAGAGCAATGATGCCGTTACTGCAGAGAGCACGGGAAAGGGTCACAAACGTAGCTTTAGTGGACATGCTGCGTCTCATTCCTCTTCCCATCTGTGTACAGAAAAAAAATACAATAAGACAACAAGTTATGGATGACATGTAGAAAAGTAAAAATCTTCAGCCAAGAACATGTCGACAATAAATCTAAATATATTTAAATCCCTGAAAGCTTTCATAGAATACTCTGCAGGTCTTTATTTTTGCTACACTATTTGCTGACTACATTTTAACACTAAAATGTTTAAAGAGAAAATAATAAGCCATTTTAATGAACACGCACTTCTGTAAATTCACTGCTGGATTCCAGATTTAAATCTTTGACGGAGAGCAGGTAGCTTTCCAACTGCCTGACTGCAGGAGCAATCTTGGTCATCATTTCGGTTGCAACCTTTGCTACCTGAGCCATGACACCAACCAGGCCCTGGAGTTCCTCAGAAAACATCGCCTGCAAGAAGAAGAAGAAAAAACTCAGACACTCTTTTACGGCTTTTAATATTAAATGACGTATAAATTAACATATTCAGATTTATTACAGCACTGAATGCATTAACCATATATTCAACTTTAGAAAATAAACACAACTTAATGCTTAGATTTCTGTAGTTTTGTCAACTTTTAGTTTTGGCCTTAGCATATTGATATCAAACAGAGTAGATGTTACTCATTAAAATAAAAAAGGTGATATAAGTAGTAATTAATAAGTAAAAGTACAAATATAAGTTGTCATTGAGAGTCATAAGGATTTATCATGGAGACATTGAGCAGTAATAACATGTTCTTAGCATAATATCAACATTATTAATTATTACAAAACAGTAAAAGAACAGTATTATTCTATTTATTTCTAGAGGATAAAAGCATGTTTTTATAATAAATCAAAATATATACAAAAATATTCCATGTGTAAAAAAAAAGAGGAGATTTAAAGAACTCTGTTGCAGCATATGAAAGTAAGCATAGTTGTAAACCGTTTTGATGAGAGAAAAGATAAATGTTGTCTCTGAAATCTACCTTGTAAACAAGCTTCTCTGTGTTTACATGTTCAGCCGTCAGCAGTGAAAACTTGTACCAGTCTTTAGCAGTCATAGTGCAGAAGGTCGCCAGAACGGCCGCCTCTGATGTGTTAACTGATTCAGAGGGGTGACAGTAACGCAGGTTCACCAGCCAAGAAAGGGTCTGTTCCAAAAGACAATATGAGACATAAGGAAATAGGCCATAAAGCAAAAATTACATATATCAGAAAGGGTGAAAGCAAGGGAAGTGGTTAGCTAATAATTGCTTAATATCCTCACAAAACATTGATAGTCTTTGATGAACATTATCATGGTTAAAGAGAAAATAATGACACTTTGAAGCATTGTGGATTTGAATTCTCTTTAGTTTTGTCATGAATAAATCACATAATGATTTTGATTTAAAAAAAGGAAACAGCATAGGTGAAGAAAAGTGACAACCTTCAACTTTTGGCAATCCTATAAATGCTTGAAGACACAATAAATGAGTGAAGGTGAAAAGTTCCAAAAGTGATTGTGTTTACAAATGGAGTAATATGCATTTGATCAGAACCACAAGTCTGCTTATTCTTCTATAAAGATAAATAAACTAGTTATATGGCTCAAATGTCCATATAAAAGGCACCAAAATTTAGCATTAATTATTAAAGTAAATCTTTAAAGGGAGGATATGTAAGTCGTGTCTAACCTCTGTGTTGTTTGGTAGAGGGGTTTCCATCAGGACAAGAAGTGCTTCAGGATCCACATTCATGTGTTCATGGACGGCCTGAATGAAAGCTTCCTTATTCCTCAGCATCTCCCCGAATGTAACCACTACAGACAGAGCACACAGGATATGAATCAGCTGTACAAAATTTAGTTCAATTCTGACCAATTAATAATTGAAAGTAAAACCTTTTGGCACAAAGAACATTTATATTTAGTTGCTAAAAAGACCCAGTAATACAATATCATAGAAAGTGGGAGACTGTTTTGCCATCAGCAGTGGGTAACATGTCTTTGGCCCAGATTGGGCCCTTAAATACCAACTGATCATTGTTTAAATATCACCGGCTACAGAAATGTTCCTACTGATCATGTTCAGGGTCTTTGTGACAACATGGCTATTCCAGCAGCTTAATGCACCATTTCAAAAAGCTAAAATGCATCGGTAAAATATTACAATGGCTTCTTGCAGCCTGATCTCCACCCAACAGTGCACCTTTGGAAAGTACTGGGTCATTTGCATCATGGTTACAGTATGTAACCGTTTACTGCTACCATGGCAATATGGAATATCATATTTTAAGATTCTTTTTCCAAAACATAGAGAATCTAATTAACAAAGAACAAAAACAGTTCTGAAAGAAACAAGAGACCCAACATGATGAACCAGAGAATGTGGCCAGTTGTTGCATATTCTAATTAAAAAGACACGGTGACGTTTAAGCCTCTGCATTGGAATGCATACCATTTAATATTGGATTACCAATACAACCAATCTAATGACATTTAAAATAATTGATGAAGGTAAAATAAGAAGAAACACAAGTCAAACAAAACTTTATTCTAATGTTGAACTGATATTCAACATAGAAACACGTAAATGCAGTAAAGGCAGAATGATAGATGAGTGAACAGACTCACCTGGAGATGAAACGTTGAGCACACTCAGACCACTGATGTTTAAGCCAAGTGCTTCAGTCAACACAGTTGACCTGTAAATATGTACACACATGCATTAAATATACTTACTAACCAAAACAAAAAGCCAGTTCAGACATTTTGTTTATTTCAACAGTATAAGAAAATGTATACATTTCATTGAATAAAAACCAGAATAAACAATCTTAGAAAACTACATCAATGATATCCATAAAACATTTCTAGGTGGTTAAGTCATGCATCTTTTGATTATTTGCAACCTTAAAAATGTTATCGATAGGTGAAGAAAATGTTTGTACCAGTCTGACTGGAGGTTGTAACTTCTGGGATCTCCCACAAGGGCCTGGAAGAGGATTTCTGACAGAGAGGTTATGTTGGTATCAGCCAAGACCTGCAAGCTTGGCAAAACTTTATGGCAGAGATCCCCTGGTTTCATGGAGAGTGAATGCAGGAGAAGGGCCAGTGAATCAGTCTTTTCCAACACACACACCTACAAAATACAAGAAGGTAATTACTACTACTGAGAGAGCTCTAACACAGATAAATGATCAAGTACAAGCAAACAGTAAAGTTAGACAAATTACACAATACAAGCAAAAAACATTTCAACTGCATGGAACTCTTGTATAAAAAAAAACTGTTACTTAACTTAGAAAAAAAAACCAAAAGCCTTTATCAACTGAGTCCAATTAAAAAACAACTCTGAGAATACACTTTATTGGTAACATTAAAGATTTGCACAATTTAAAGTGACTTACAAATCATATTCAGAGCATCCTATATCACCCATAACATGACATTCTTGTGTATTTATTTGAATTTAAGAGAAATTTTGAAGTTTTCATTCTTGTGAACAATATTTATAATTACCTTTAGCCCTTTTTTGTATTTTATTTTTTATTTTTTTGTGGCAGTATTTTTGATTCACCATTGAAGAAGAGAAATAACAGGAAAGTTATTGTACAAACCTCAGATCTCAGTTGGCTTAGTTGATCTGTGAACCTGGGGTCACTTGGGCTGATATAAAAGAGCTCGGTTGCTGTTTGGACGGCTTCCTGCATGAGTCTCAGGTTTTCTGTGACAGGTAGGAGACACAGAGAGATACCGGGGTGAAAAAGCGAGGCTGAGAGAGATTCCATTAATGTCTGGAATCTTAAAGAGTTTAGTAGGTGAAGTGACAGAATAACATGACATCCCACTGGGCTTCATTACGACACGCGCCATTACGGTGGTATCGTCGTCGAGCAATGAGCAGCAAATGATGTGCTTAAAGTGAAGTTCTGCGCGGGACTGATGGGGCCAGAAGGGCCAGTAGTGCCAGACGCCGTCATGCATAAAAACGCATCTGACAAGACCTAAGAAAAGCACCACCTCAGGCTGCAAGACGTGATGAAAGAATATTTAATTAGCCCAAAATTAGACAAATGTAATGTTTAATCTCAGGCTGCTCAATACCTTGAGGTCTTTTCAATCACAACAGCTTGCAGTGTTTAATAGTGAGTTTTGAGTGCAGAACACTGAACCTGCTTACAAAGGGATTCTATGTTCACAGAAAAACATTATCGCACAAGCACAGAAGCATATTAAAAAGAGGTCATGGATGCCCACTTGTGCAAGTGCAAGGGGGGACATTTGGCGAGGGCGGACAGAATAAGTGATTGAATTCTACTTTGCTAATGAGATTTAAAAAGGTGCTGAGTGGCTTTTAGTTGGAGATGGGCCACATGGCCTTGGGCTCTTTGTGAGTTGAAGCTAGGCCAGTATGAAGCTTTATTCCTCATATCTCCAGTATAAATATTTGAAGCACTATAATCATATGTACAGTTACAACAGCGCTAACAAAATGTTTTATTGTCTTCCCTTGGTCTTGCGACTGTTATAAATTACAGGGTGGCGCCGCTCCAAGCTGCGTGACTGTTTAATGGCAGACTGTATTTATACTTTCACACTGTCACAGTGGGTATGCAAACACAAGCTGTAGCTACAGCAAGTGGAAAAAAAAATCAAATTCACATCCTTGCTTAGACAGATGCACTGCAGTTAAGTAAATAACTCAGTGCAGCTGGCTGGGCTTTGATGGATAGACATTTGATAGATATAGATTTTTACCCACTGTCATTACATAAGCATTAGAGTCTGACTGTATGTATTATAATCAAGATCAAGTTGGAGTATATGTGGCTTTATTGGTCTATGTAAAATGACTAGATTTTTTGATGATATATGTTAATGTCATCAAATCAATGAAGTTGTTACAACTGTGACCTCCTTTTCATCTAAAGTGCTTTGAAATTATTTTATTTGTAACTATAGAAATACAATTAATTAAATTCAATCTAAATTTTAAATTGATTTGGGAATTCTCGATCAACCCAAAGAGATCCGAGGGCAAAGGTGTCACAACTGAATATATGAATAATTTGGTAAATAAATATTACGTATCTATATGATTAAATGGAATTGATTTCCAATTATTCTTGTAGAAAAGTGAGAATATCTGGTTAGGAAATTATGACATGAGGAGTTCCAATTAAGCAAAACGTGTATGCCTGAAATACAGTTCGTCATGATATGACTTAAACTCACAATTTGTCATCAACTTGATCTCTAAATGGAAACCAAAACATTGTCTTATACTATGTTTGCCCTGTCAGCTAACTTTAATGGGCAACATTTATAACAAAGTCATTCGCTGTGAAGTATTAAACACTTAAACTAATAATTATATATGTACACTTTTGACAAATACATTTTTACAACATTTTATGTTTTTTATGCACTTAGTGAGTCCTGTGACCCAGTGAATTGTTGCTCTTTTTGCCTTTATTAAATAAATTTTAAATCACGTTTTGATGAAGAATCCCATTTTACATTTTTACCAGGGTATAAAGCAGTCAACATGCATGTGTTATTTTAACTTATCAAAAAAAAAGGAATAAAACAAAGACAACACTGAACCAAAAATGACCAACTTCACTCCTGACATTTCTTTATTGATTTTACATGAAAACCTATAAACACTGAAATAAATTCCCAGAATAAATATAAATACTTTTTCTATTACCTGGAGATTCGTTTGCCAGGGTCCTGCTAATAGATTTTATCTCTGAGGCAAACGGCAAACCCTCTGGAAGGATCTCTGCTGCATTTTTCAGGATATCCAATGATGGCCTGAGGAAAATTGTAGCAAAAATCATCATGCAACACAGGTAACCATATGACACCAGGTAAATTGGGTTATTGACACAAACACAAGCAGCAGAATACACAAACAATTTCTATCTCTGCCATATTTTAAAAGGTACACTTACGTCTCAAACACTTGTGGATGAGTGAAGAAGGAGAACATTCCAAGGGTGGCATCAATAGTTTCTTCCCGTGAGGCATTAAAGCCCCATGGCATGCCACTCGTTGTTCCTTTCATCACAACATTCAGATCAGGATTTGAAAAGAACACATGGGCTGTCTCTGTGACTTCTGCTGTTGTTGGGGCTACAGAAAGCGCTCTAAACATGCTTGGGTAGTCGATGTAGAACATATCAATGATGTCAGACATGGGGTCCCTCTTCATCATCTGCGACAGGTCGCGTTTTCGCCGGGTATTCATTAGATGGTGTCCGCCAGACTCGTGGTGATATTGGGAACTTGGGGGCAGAAGACCACTGGCAACAATGTGGTTAAAAGCTGCAAAGATGTTTGCGAATAGCTCCTCGTAGACTTCCATATCCATGTCCACACTCACTTTGGTCAGAATAGATAAAGGAATTCGGATGATTTCATACATCTTGGAAAGAGTCTGACTTAGCAGTTCCAGCTGAGAGGCTTCAGTTGAGACCAACCACATGAACATCTCAGATACACGCTCTATCATTAAGTAAGAGCTGTTCGTTGCAAGGAAGTGCTCCATGGCCTGGTAAATCATAGGTGAATGTCCAAAAGCCCTTGTTTCCATGATCTGTTTAATTATCTCTTCCATCGTATCAGCAAGAAGAGCCAAATCGACTCCAGAAGCATTTCCTGACATCATAGGGTAGATGTCCTTCAAAGTGATGTTTGCAGAGGCTAAGAAGATCATTGCTGCTTCTTGGATGAGCTCATGGGATGAGCTGCTGCTTTCATTAAGGTGGTAGTTGTCCAGAATGTGGCTCATTGCTATGAATGCAGCTTCAACGTGGGGCTGGAGGAAAGGAGCTACATCAAGCAGTTCATCTGAAAGTTCTTTAAATTCGGCCAAACTGTGGAAAGAAGACGTAAAAAATATCAAAATAAGATATAAATTTTTATTACAAGAGTTGCCAGCATTATTGTTTAGATTAAAATATTGTAACCTATGTTTTAGTTTATTTCTTTTTTGGAATGAGCTCTAGTACATTTGATTTTTTTCAGATTTTGAATAAAAATAACAGTTTTTCAATCATTCACTTTAATCAAAAAAAGACTGAAAATCTTTAACTTATGCCTTTAGACCTGTTTGATTCCCAGGGATACCTCGAGTGTGATCCTTATCTCCATGCCCTGCTCATTAATGGTGGTGACATAAAACGAGAAATCAATTTTGAAAGGAGAAAAAGCCTGATTCGTGGCTAAGCTGCTATCTATTCAGACCTGCCTGTTTTCAGGCAGGCCAGCATTAAATTAATCAATTTGAATGCAAATGTGACCACTTCAGCTCCTTGTGTAATTATGTATGAATCAAATAGGTTTCACTGGTGCTTTGTGGATAATGTGGACACAGCAAATTGGTTATTAGGTTCATGGAGAGTTCATGTAAGCTCCAGGTGAAGCTTTCTGTATAGGGCTCTGCTCTAAACAGGACTTAATGGGAATGTTTTCTTTTGCGGCTGATGTACAGAACACCTTTTAATGACTGCACTGAAGTCAGATTCGTTCCTGCTGTAAATATCAGTTCTGAATCACTAGAGATTAAATAATCAGTATAGCAAGTGTTTGACAAAACTCTATGATACTATACCTGGTATTCAAGTCTATGATTATGTCATCTACAATTCGATTGGGTAATAGTTTTTTGGCAGGCAGGATTTTAAAAAAAAAAGAAGCTTTTCAACCTGTTTACATCAGCACAGCTTGAGAAACATTATTAAAGTTTGTATACATTATTCCACTAATCAAATCTCTGCCTTCCTTAAAAAAAAATAAAAAATAGAAAGATCTTAAATTGAGGTCAAAATCAAAGACTGAAAGCAATGTTGACATAAAGGTAATATATCTCATACATACATTTTTTATAGATGGTGAATGCTATTAAAATTCACTATCCATGCTTAACTTTAAACATCCATGTTTAGGCTCAGCGTGATTGGGACCTATTGCCTAATCAAGTTAAGTATTTTAGAGTACAGCATTTCTAAATAAAGATAAAAACAGCCCTTTTCATGGGAAAATGCAGAGACTTTAAAGCTGGAGAACATCTTTGAATGTGCAGGAACTTTACAGAAATATGTAGCAAGTTGGATTAACTTAATCAAAAATCAGGAACGTGCCACTAGACAAGCACCAAAGCATCTAAAAACACCAGGACCAATATAATTAATTACTTAATTATTACAACTAAGTTATAAAGCCAAGAGCAAATTATAGGTGACCAATTGAAAAACTATTAAAGTAGTTATTTCAACTGAACTGTTGGAGCACCATAATGAAGCTGATTTACTGGAACAAAATATCTGACTGTCAACAAAATATTATGAGGAAGCACTAAAGAGGCTGGAGCATGCAGAAGCAGGCTAGCGAGTGGATTGTAATAGTTTACAGGATTGTAAAACTGCCAAGTAGAAGTTAATAAATATATCATCATTAGCTTGAATGAGCTATTGCATAGGGGATTCTTTATTGGTTGATATGTTTTATCATATACTATCATATACTATATATATATATATATATATA